ATCTAGATCATTTTTAATTTGGTTCCTATTTTTCAAAATGTCACACCTACATTTCTTAATCTCTACTTAGCCGTAATTTTCTTAGGTTAAAATCCTTATGACCATCGTATAGCATTTTCAAATAGAGGTGCCACAAGTGGGGTACCGCAATCTTAGAATTTCAAATGAGTGAGGGTGGCTCCTAGGGGTGGGTCGCAGTGGTTTGAAAAATACGTAATTTGAATTTAGCTGGGTCGCTTGAATTTCCTATCTCTAATTTCATGCTAAAAATTCTTTTTTTTTTTGTAAAATTTATTTCTACCAATTTTTTTCATTTGACGGGTAGTTTTCCAATGTCACCGTAAAAATTTTATGACCATCGTTTAGCATTTTTCATGAGCTTTCCAAAAAGGTGCCACAAGTGGGGTGTTGCCATTAAAGATTTTGAAGCGAGTAGGGGTGGCGCCTAAGGGGTAGGTCGGGGTGGTTTGAAAAATACGTCGTGTGTATTCCGCCTTGATTTTATAAAAACGGTATTTTTTATTTTTTCAATATCTTTTTTGGTTCAAAAATTATAGCCATTGTAAGTTTTCAGTGGCCCACCCTGTATAAGATGAACGACTAAAAAACATCCTGATAAAACTCTTCTAAACTATAGTATGCCTTCAATTTTAGAACGGACTTTACACATTTTACAAAACTCTTGAGATCATGGAGGCCCCTCCACTCATCCGGCAAATGATTGTATATCTTTAAACTTTCATACATTAAAGAGTTTTTGGTAAAACCACTCCTGGGTATTGGTAATGGTAAATTATGTCCATAACGTGTGTCGTGGATGTTGGGATTTATAAAATGTCTATATTTTTTGTGCACCAAGGAGACAGTCTCCAAAATAAAAATACATGGCAATGTAAGGATTTCTTCCTGAACAAACAATGGCCTACAATGGTCCCTAGCTTTCAATTTGCATAAGTACTTAAGTGCCCTCTTCTGTAGGACAAATAAAAAACCCCAAAATGCAATCCCATATTTCAAATGAGACTCAACAAGTGAATAATATACCGACGTAGCCATGAGTGACCCCAGCCATGGGTGAACAGCAAAGCATCCAGATACCAATTTCTTGTTCAGACACAATATATGCTCTTTAAATTTTAAATCCGAGTCTATGTGCAAGTCCAGAAACCTGCAGCTAGCCTTATTTGCCACGAAATAATTATCCACATTCAGACCATCCAAAACAAACCTAAAAGTAAATGCTACCATCCTCAGAACAAACCACTTGTTTTCTACCTGACAAATAAGACGAAAACCATACTGATGCATTTTCTTCAGCAGTATTTTGTGATTTATGCAATCAAATGCTTTAGAAAAATCACAGAAAACCGCTGCAGCCATACTTCCTCCATTCAGACCGACGTACAAACTCTCTAAAAGCCTCAACACCGCATCACTAGTACCCTTAGAGGCTTGAAATCCAAACGGACAACTAGTCAGGATATTGTGACTAGACATGAAGGCTACCATTCTTTTCTTTACAAGCTTTTCAATGATTTTTGAAAGCGTAGGTAACATTGAGATTGGACGAAAATCAGCAGGGTTTTTCGGATCACCACCCTTAAACAGCGGAACAACAACAGCGGTCTTGAGACTAGAAGGAAAACAACCATCGTCAAAAGATTGATTTATTAACATTACCATAATCTCCAGAGCCTGTCTGGGCAAAGCCGCAAACACTTTGAGTGTAAGGTCATCTATGCCAGAGGAATTTTTATTTTTTATCTCTCCAAGGATACCACACATTTCATCAATATCAGTATGTATCAAATAAAAACTGTTCGGTACAGAAACCTCCTACAGGTACAACATTGATCAATTTGCGAATTTAAATTTGCTGTTAGTTCATCAGCAACGGAACAATAAAAATCGTTTAGTGTGTTAGCGTTAACATCAACTTTAGTCCTTGCTGTGCTTGATTTTCCCCATAAACAGTTTACTATATTCCAATTCTCTTTAGTTTTATTTTGCGCCCTATCAATCCTATCCCTGTAATATTTACCACTTCTTGGCTGTCTTAATAGCACTCCTATAAATATTTTTGTACCTATTAAAATAGATCAAGAAAGCTTGGTTTAAAGTGAATTTTCTTATCCTATGCAGACATCTTGAATTTACTGAGGAATTTCTTATTCCCGAGGTAATCCAGGGCTTTTTGTTTTTCTGCTTTAATTTACGGACAGGAAAATTTGCATTAAAAATTTCAACAACTATACTATTAAATTTATCTAATAAGTTATCCAACCTCAATAATCCCTGCCAATTTATTTTCGCAGCCTGTTCCCTAAAATGTCCAAAGTTTTCAGTACTGTAAATTCTCCCATATCTAAAGGTTTTTGATTTTTTTTCCTGGTGTACATAAATAGATGAAACTATAGCCTCATGGTCAGAGAGACCCGAGGAAATCACAATAGTTTCAGCCCCAAATATGTCTGAAAAATTTGAACAAAGATAATCAATAGTGGTACTGGAATATTTTGAGATACGGGTGGGCTGCTTAATGAGCATCTGCAAATTAAAAGAAATCAGCAAGTCCTTCAGATTCTGAGTGCACATTGACTCAGAATCCTCGTAATTAATATTCAAGTCACCGGCCACTAAAATCTTAGCATTTACTAGTAAGTCCGATAAAAGAATTTCCAGTCTGTCCATAAACTCTTTAATGGTTCCGCTTGGAGGTCTATATACACACAAAATATACAAATTTATCTTAGTAAAATGAACTATTGTAAACTCAAACACGCCTTCAACGAGTAAAAATTCGTATTTACTAATATTAACTACAGAATAAGACTCACACAACTCAGCAGTCAAAAGTATCATTGTTCCTCCATGTGCAGACTCTCCTCGACAAAAACTAGAGTCTACCAAGTAATTGGGAATGTAGCATGGCTCGTCTGGTTTCAGCCAGTGCTTTGTCAATAATTAAATGCTCGGCATGTTTTGCGTTTCCAAAAAAATAGTCAACTCATCCACCTTGTTTCGTACAGACTGAATATTCAATAATAATAGTGTTATATTTTTTGGTTGTCTAAAAAAGAGTGAGAGGTTGAAGTTTCTATTATCTCGATTTCTCTGGGCGCATCACTCGTCAGAGAGGCAGCTGAGACACCCGAAGTCAACCTTCCCAAATCGCCTATTGATGTTTTTGAAAAATGCAATTGCCTTAAATTGCTCATTGGAGCCTTTGAGAAATATGTGATGATTTAGTCTTTCAATAAAGTAAACAATTTGTACAGTCCCGCTACATTCAAGTAACAACTATTATTAACAAAATGTTTAAACAAAAATCTATTGTGCAAGTCAAGAAAATCGACATTCAAAGAAAAATGTTTTAAATTATTAATTACAGCATTAAACCTAGTGTTAACATCCTCAATATAATTTAATGATTTATTACATCTACTATTTACAGGCAGGGTACATAAAATAAGATTTGTATAAAAGCATTTGTTAGTCAAGGAGGTAATATCATGTATGCTGATATTTTTATCATTCAAACCTGCCAAAACAATAACATAGTCCTCATTTGTATAGTCCCTGATGTAACAATCCATGCTGGAAACAACTTCGTTAAATCTTGCATAAGGTTTGCTAACAATTTGGACGATGAAATTACAACCAAGAGTATTCTGTAGAGGCTCCAAAAGTCTTCTCCCACAGTCATCAGTCAGAACAAGAATTTTGATGAGTTTTTCAGGTTTTTCAGATTTTTTTGGTAGCCTTCCACTATTTTCCCTCTCTCCACTTCCTTCTGTACTCAAATCCTTATTATTTTCTACCTGCTTCTGTTTCTCCATTTTCTTATTTTTGCTGTCCTTGTGTAGATCTTCTTTCTTCTTTCCCAATTCATTCTTTAACCTTTTCATTTTCTGCATAAATTTTATTATCTGCCTCAAGTATTACTTGTCCGTCCTTCATCTGATTTTTGACCATTACAAGATCTGAGAAGTCTTCTCTTCTTTTAGTTTTATAATAAATCTTTCATTGTCATTTATCTGATTCTCATCTTTGTTCTTAATAAGTGGTTTTAGGTTAATCTCTTCGTCCGTTTGTTTTTTTTTTGAGCTTTTTTTTTATTTTCAGTTGTTCAATTCCATTTTTAAGGTCATCAATTTTTTTTTATCTTTTTCTGTAATCTCTTTCAAAAAACTCTCTTCAGTTCTTGAAGCGTCTTCCATTAATGACATTGAAGTTCGTTTTACTCGTGCCATATAGTTATCCTTGTCTATTATTTCTGTTTTTAAGTCTTCAATAACAGATTGCAATATGTCAAAAGTGTCTGGCTCATCCTCAGCTACTGCATCCATACAGTTTCGGGAACATATTGCTAAACTATCCCTTACAATGGTATATTGTTTGTTTAACCTTGTCCAACAGCTTCTATGAACTATTTTTTTACATACGACACAAAACAATACAGTTGATTCTTTATTTTTGCAACATTTAAAAGACGACATTTAAGGGTTGAATCTTTAAAAATGAACAAAAAGTTCATGTGCACTCGGACTACAGTGCGTTTCAAGTTTCCTAGTTTTGTTCATGTTAAGAGCAGAATGTAGAGAGATAAGCTCATTAGCAAAAAATAGGTACCTGGAGATAAGACTCTATTGTTATTTTTGTTATTTTATTTTAATGGTACCTATATAATTTTTCAATTGTTTTTCGAATTTACCAGGAAATGATTTGATTTCCACTCGGATTACCACTTATGAAACACTCGCAAACAAAAAGTTTACACTCTCACAAACACATGATACCCAATTTATCAAAAAATGTGAACTTTAAATTTGTCAAATTCAAGATTTAGAGGAGCCCATGTTTGACTCTGCACACCGCACACCTTATTTTTCCCGTCGAATTCATATAGAACAGAGTTCCAATAATGAACTTTTCAATCCTTTATATGTTTTGTATATTTTTACCTTTTGTCATTAAATTTATAATAATTTTTGTTTTAGCAAACTCAAATTAAAAAAGTTGAACGCGAAATTGAAACTCTGGTAAAAGAAATGAAGAGATACGGTCCAGAAATCGAAGCTATCGAAAAAGATATGCACACGCGCGAACAGCAAATTGAAGAAATTAAATTGAGAATGAACAACGTAGAAGACGATGTTTTCTCAGATTTTTGCGCCGAAATTGGCGTGAAAAATATCCGACAATACGAAGATCGCGAATTGCGTGCTCAAGAAGAACGTAAACAAAAACGTCTCGAGTTCCAAATGCAAATCAATCGCATTACTAGTAATCTTGAATTTGAAAAAAGCCGTGACACTCAAAGTAATGTCAGTCGCTGGGAGAGAACAGTAAATGACGAAGAAGAAAAACTGGAGACAGCCAAAAAGCAAGAAGCAAGACAAAGAGACGAAATTGACAAGGATTTAAAGACTTTGGACGAGCTCAAGTCACTGAAAATGTCCAAAAAGAAGGAAGTAGAAGAAATGGACGAGGAACTAGGTAATAAAGTGTTTTCATAAAAATGCAAGATAATAATACATATAATATTTTATGCAGGTAAAGCTCGAAGAGATGTTGGAGCTGCAAATAAAGATATGCAATCAATTCAAAAAAATATTGTATCAATTGAGTCAAAAATTGAAAGTCTCAAGGGTGATAGACATGCTATTCTTTTACATTGCAAGGTATATAGTTAACTAACAACCAAATTTGCTTTACTAATACAATCCATAATTTCTTAGATGGAAGATATTGCAATTCCCATGTTAGTGGGCAATATGGAAGATATTGCCGCTACGGACCAAACACAATCGTCTTCAAATGACACCACATCACAAATGTCTGAACAAGAATCTAGAATTCAAATTGATTATAGCCAGTTATCAGACAATCTCTTAGATTTAGAAGAAAAGGACGAAGTCAAAAAACGGGAAAGTAAGCTTCTCAAAGCCATTGCCAGTTTACAAGAAACCCTTCAGAAAATTCAGGCTCCCAACATGAGAGCTTTGGAAAAGTTGGAACAGGCGCAAGGCAAACTGCAGTCGACTAACGAAGAGTTTGAAAATTTTAGAAAGCAAAACAAAAAAGCTAAAGCTTCCTTTGAAAAAGTTAAAAATTTGAGATACGAAAAGTTCACTCAATGTTTGGATCATGTAGCTCATGAAATTGACGGTATTTACAAGTCCCTGGCTCAGAATCAATCGGCTCAAGCGTTTTTGGGTGCGGAAAATCCTGAAGAACCTTACTTGGACGGTATTAACTATAATTGTGTGGCTCCCGGAAAAAGATTCCAGCCTATGTCGAATTTGTCTGGTGGAGAAAAAACTGTAGCGGCATTGGCTTTATTGTTTGCCATACACAGCTTTCAACCTGCTCCATTCTTTGTTCTCGATGAAGTAGATGCAGCATTGGATAATACAAATATTGGAAAAGTTGCAAAGTTTATTAGTGAAAAAACTGAATCTTTGCAAATTATTGTAATTTCTTTGAAAGAAGAGTTTTATTCTCATGCTGATGCACTTATTGGTATTTGCCCTGAGGTAAGCGATAGTATTGTTTTTCAAATTTGAATATGTTTTAATTTATTGTGTTTGGGTTTTAGCCCGGTGATTGCCTCATCAGTCAAGTATTAACGATGGACCTGACAGGTTTTGAAGTTTAAATCAATTATTTTTCTTGTTATTAAGCATTATTTTAGTAATTATGAGCCAAACTTTTGTGTAAATTTACTTTTTATTTTACATTTTGTACTTTATATTGAAAACTAACTTCAAGTTGTGTTTTATTAGAGGTAGGCATGAAACTTTTTACATTACGGTTTTTCATTATGGCGTGGCGTGGCGTTTAGTTTATTTGTTTTGTATTTCGGTGTCATTTTGTTACAAACAATTATTCTAATAAATAGGTACCTTAAGTATATAAATTTAGTTTTATTAAATAAGTATTGTAAGTATTGTATTCACATATAAAATCGACATCGAGATTCTTTTCACATTTATACGTTTTCAGGTCGCTAGATTACCAAAATCATGTTTTCGCAATCCTGTCAGTCTGTTTCCTGCTCTAGCTCAATGCTCAATAACGGCTTTATAGCTGAGAACAACAATTTTTGGTATACACTTACCGGCAATGCTAATGGGTTTTCGTTCGCAGATATTATATGAAAAGTTACCATTCTTGGAGTTTACTTGTTTACTAGATACATCTTTGTTGTTGTCGATTTTTTATTCCTTTTTCAAGAGATTAGCCCCTTTGTGTTAAAAAGATCTTTGTCGTATACATATTTTCAAAACTACTTATTTTAGAAGAAAAGTTTAAATTTGAAAATTCTTCAGGTTGACAAGATTGGCAGCTGAAATTTTGATATTTATTGAAAAAAGGTTTGGCTGATTTGCCGAGGGAAGTCATCGGTAGAGGCTTTTACCAATTTTTGCATTATATTGTCACGGAGCCTCGGCTATTGTCGCTCAACTAGCCGCCTTGAAGGTAACAGGCGAATGTTGATAACAGGGAACACCAGGATAGTTTCAAACAAATATGTATATTGATTTGAGGTACATAATAGTTATTTTTCCACTTTACTGCACGTTTGTAGGTAATAATTCAAATATGCTTCTGAATTTTGAAAAATGTGAAAGTGGCCTACTATATTGATTCAGCGATAGAATATTATTTTAATGGCCGTTTGCACCGACCATTTTAAGGAAGCCTTAGCGATAAGTGTTCCTTAAAGTGACATTTCTCCATGTAAAAATGTCATTTTAAGGAATACTTTATCGCTAAGGCTTTCTTAAAATGGTCGGTGCAAACTGCCATAAGTTTATTCAATTCTATTCAAAATATGCTTTATTATCCAAGACAAAAGTATCCTTAATAATAATAATCAAACTTAAGTTAAAAAACAACACTTCTACTTATCATTTTTTCTAGTACTTAGTTTTCTAAGAAAATTATAAAACTGATCTGGCAACCCTGCCTCTACCCTCTAACTACAACCCCTAATTTTTATGGATCGGCTTGTCGTCCAAATTCATTGAAGAAATTATATACCAAAATCTATTTTAAAATAAAAACGTATATATTTGTTTTGTTATATACCTTATTTTGCTGCTTTTCAGTTATGTTGTAAGTTTTACATTTATTGATTTTCTTTAATTTAGGGATGAGATTCAAATATGTAAGGACATTATCTATTTTCACTGTTTTTTGTTTTGTTTGTTTCAAGTTTTACTCGAATTTTGATTTAAGCTTTTTCAACCAGCATTTACACCAAAAAATCAAGTCGAATTCATCGACAAACACCCCCAAATTTAGTAATTTGTTCACCATAGTCCTAAGACAATTCGAAGTTTACGAACACGATGTCCCTTCAACAGTCCAATCATTCAAAACCATATTTCCTCACGTATTTTTCTGGATTGTATACAATGAAATTCCCTATCCACCTTTAGATTTAAACGTTTCATTATCCAAAATAAAATTGCACAATTTATCTCCAATTTTAAAACACACCCAAACTCTTTTATCGCAAATAAAAACCAAATATGTACTACTAACTCCAGATTCTGTTAGAATAACATCCCGAAAGCCTATTGAAATAATGCTTGATGCTATCAAAAGAAATCCAAACAATATTGTAGCAGTACCTGTTGGGGCCTATTCTAAAAACTTAAAATGTTTGAGTGTAAATGTTAATCAACGCGAATGGACTATAAAATACAATCTAATCAAAGGTATCAAATGTGATGCAGTTAACGGAAAACATCTTATGATGGTTAAAAAAGATATATTGGAACAAATTTATGATCCTATGCTCTTACCATTTCCACAGTCTTTGTATGTTCAAACCTCGGCACAAAATATAAAGGTAAAATGCTAAAAATGTCTAATCAAATTCCAATAAATTTATTCTAGGTGATTATCATCAAAGTAAATTCTCTCCACAATGGAAAACCCATTTTCAAGTCTCATCAAAGCCAACTGAAAAAGCGCCAATCGGAACAAGAACTTCTCAAAAACTTCTATAGGCAATTTAAAGTTAAACAAGTCCTAAGGGAGACTGGGTCCACGGAATGGTATGGATGCAACAAGGACACTCCGAGGTGTTTTGGTTTGGTTCTGGATTCAACTCCGGCGTATCTTTATGAAAAAAAGTGGACTCCTCCGTGTTGTATAGCTAATTTAAGAAAAACCGCTCGTCATGTATTTTCAGTATTAGATGAGGCAGGTGTAAGATATTGGTTGGAAGCTGGAAGCTTATTAGGAGCAATGCGAAGTGGTGATATTTTACCTTGGGATTATAATGTAGATGTAGGTTTTGTTAGAGAAGATATAAGTAGGTGTAAGTGGCTTAAAAAGTCTCAAAATAGGCCAGTGGTAGATAAAAAAGGCTTTCTATGGGAAAAGGCTACAGTTGGTAATTTATTTAAAATAAGCTACAGCAAAATCAATAAAATACACGTAAATCTTTTTCCATTTTATTCGAAAAACGGTACTATGGTTAAAGATTCTTGGTTCACTAGTCATCGAAATATGGAGTTTGCTGAATCGTTTTTGCATCCCATGTCCAGTATAGATTTTGTTGGCAGGAGTGTACCTAGTCCGAATAATATAAGAGATTTTTTGGAATTTAAATATGGGAAAGGGTGCATTGAAAATCCTGAGTATCCTAATCCTGATAAAATTGAATGTCCATAAATATTAGAAGATTTTTTACCTACCTATTTATTAGTTTATACCCATGTGATTTATTTGATTTTCAAATATACATATGTTATGTCTTGTGTGTATTGAATAATAAGTTAATGAATATACATACAATATATGTATATTATATTCTATTGTGATTTTTTGTGATATTGCCTAACAATTTTTTTCAAATAATACATAATAAGTAAACATATAATATTTTCAAAGTTTAGTTGTAAGTAGTTTACCAGTATTAAAAATTTTATAGTGTAATTTAGTATAGCTTCATATTTGTGCCAAACAATTTTTAGGTAGAAATATAGAAATTTGCTCTATCCAGTGATAGATATTTATAGCGCATCAATTTGCTAGATACTATAGGTAAACTGTTTTCCGAATATTTAAAAATCTATTAAGGTTGTTTCTTGAATTAATTGTATCAATAAATTTTATTTCTTATTATTTTATTTTAATGGATGGCTATAGAAAGTATGGCAATATTGAAATTCTCTGCACACACATTAAGAAAAAAAAGGTTCTCCTTTCCTGTCCGTTGACTCTTGAGAGAGTATGGTGACATATCATGTCTCAATTGCTTAAATTGTGGTTTTCCATCCTTCTCTATCCTATGGAAATTTCTTGCAAACCATGGCCAATAATTTCTTTGGTTTGATCCACCCAGACCTTTCTTTTGGTTGTTTACCAAAGGTCTAGCTACTTTGCTGTATCAGTGGGAGCAAGGAAGCAAGGCACGGCTGTAGTTTGGATCGGATCGGGGGTTGCCTATTGTACCTTTTGTTCGAGCAGATATCTCCCAAAGTTCCCATAGCGGGTCTCGGCTCAAGACTATTTTTATTTGACCAAATCGGGGGTGGCCAAAGCTGTTATATTTTTTTATTGCTGATTTCGATAGTCCATGAAAAATAAGTCAACACGTGTTTTTTCTTTTGCTTCTTAGTCAAAAATTGACGGAGATACAACACTAAATATTAATAAATGCCGTTCTATGACTATTTCCAAACTTCATAATGAAGTGAAGTTTGCATATAGACTTGAAAATACCAATCTTTCAAGTGTAGATTCCATACGAGACCTTGGGGTAATTATCGACAGTAAACTAAGCTTTAATAAACATATTGACCAAATCGTTCAAGCTTCTTTGAAAACACTTGGCTTTATTATTAGGTCTACAAAAGATTTCACAAATACGGAGGGCTTGATTGCCTTGTACAACTCATTGATAAAATCAAAATTACAATATGCAGCTCTGATATGGTTTCCTAGTTATGATGTACATGTTGACAGGCTCGAATATGTCCAGCGCAGATTTCTCAAGTACCTAAGCTTTAAGCAGGATGGCATTTACCCTCCACGGGGATATGACCACAAATTATTACTAGAAAGATTTAACTTTTTATCACTTAAGCAAAGTACAATTCTTGCCAGTCAATTGTTCATTTTCAAAATATGCAATAATTTAATTGATTCGGCTGAAATATTGAGTTGCCTCAATTTTTTGGTTCCTGCAGCAAACACCCGAACTCACCATAAATTTTATCTGGAAAACTGTCATACTAATCTCGCCAGAAATGCGCCTATATATAGAGCCTGCTCATGGCATAATCAATTAATACCCATTGTACTTGAGTTGGATCTTTTCAATGGTACTGTAAAGTCATTTAAAACTAAAATTATATCACAGATAAAAAATGCTCTCCTGAATTAAATTGCTCTAGTGATTGTTTTGATTGATTATTGAATCTTGCATTTTTGTGGAATATTGCTGATTAGCTTGGGGTTAACTTTTTGTCCTGGGGTTTTGCTGGGGGAAGCTGTTGATGCTGCTTAATATACTTAATTTACATCTGTTTTCTCTTGATTGTTAATTACAAACTATAGTTAGTTACTTCATGTATTTGTATATGAAGCATATGTCAAAACCTAGTTTTAAGTTTACAATAACATTTGTCTAGTCTTTAATTTGAGATTATTATAATTGTCTTGTTATTGGGTTTATCCTGTTAGACAATAAACAAATAAATAAAAATAAAAACTATGAAATCTGCCTATGACGTCACTTATCTAATAAATAAGTGACGTTGCACATGCTCAGTATATCTATATATACAAAACTTAATATTTGAATAACTTCCGCAATAATCATATTTGGGCGAAATAAAAAAAAAGTAACGATTTTTTTTCGATTTCCTACAGTTTGCAATAAACAATAATCAATTTAATTTTCCATGCCCTATTATCGGCCGTGTTTCGTTATAGATTTTTCGTTATACTGCAAATATCTTTCAATCTGACTAAAAAAAAATCTCCCGGTCGACTGCCATTATTTTAACGGCCGGCAGCTTGTTATTTATACTTAACCGGCCGGCGGTCGTTAAATATACCTTTTCGATTTCAATTTCGCTCATGTTATATTGAGATAACAGTACAGTATCACACAAAAGAAATTATGTGAGAAAGTCAGTTTTATTACTTCCCAATATAAAAATTGTAAATTTATACAGCAAATATTGCAAAATTGAAATATAGGTACATATTTGAGCATAAAATTGTCTTAAAAAGTAAAAGTTCAAAGTATATAAACAAAAAATATGTAAAAAGCTAAGTAAAATATTTTTAAAGTACCTATATCCTAAACATTACCATAGTTCACAAACAGAAACTTTATTAACAAAACAATCTTTAAACCCTTTCAATAGTCCTCTACATCTACACCACACAATATGCTCTTCAATGTTAGAGGCACTTCCTTGTGTAACTTTTTTTCTCTCGATACAATTTTCCTCAAAAATCACTAAATCGTCACAACAGTTGGTGCTCTCACTTGGGTTATAGCTTATGCAAAATTTAAAATGTTTTGTATTTTGAGATATTTGAGGGGGCTGACTATACTCAAATCCTTCGCTAACAAAGGCGCTGTCTACTTTAACTTGTTTTTTTATGTATATGTAAGTATTTGTGCAAGAAACTGTAGCATCAATCGAGTCCATCCATGATTGTGATAGGAAGATGGTTCTGAAACAATTTTTTGGTTGCAAGAGTATGGTAGGTTACTAAAGGAAATTACTTACCTTAGCACTTTCTGTAAATTTTTATTTAATTGAGCTACATGATTTCTTTCTATATGTCCTCTTGCAAGATTGGGAATTGTTATAGTAAATACTTCTTTACTACAAATCGGGCTTGTGCCAAATAGCACAACAATTTCTTTTATCGCGTTATCAGTCTCACAAAATTCCCTATTAATTCCTCTCATCACTACATCCAAATAGTCAAAAGCAGCCGATACCTTCCGATAATGCGCCTCATGTGTAAAATTCGGCTTCTTAGGAGGCCCCTCATTGTCATTGGATTGCAAATTTTTTCGGCGTTTTTCTATTACATGCTTCAGCCAACTGTAGGGGTATGGTATTTGGCATTTTTGGTATAAAAGGCCTTTTATAATTTCGTTTACCAGAGATGCCCCAGCCAAAGGGGTCAATGTTAATTCTTCCGATATAGTTACACTTATTTCTTGTATTGTTTGAGGCATTTTTTTCTATTATTTATTTCTAGTAATTTGATCTGCTACTTTTATGTTGTTTTTATAAGGTAAATCTGAATAAAAATATAGTTTGATTTAAATTTGATGTACGTTGAGTTTGATAGATTGGAAAGGTTTTAGGTTAGGAATACAGAACACGCCTTGCGTTCGGTATTTTGCTCAAAGTGTAGAGCGAGCTGAGCGGAGCCGTAATCACGTGACCAGCGAGCGAACGGAGCAGTTGAACGATGTATAAAAGTACCAGAAATTTTAATAAACTAACGCGAATGAGGCTGCACCGAGTACACTTTTTAAATAAACGAACGGTAAAGTCAAGCTCGGACCAAAATAACGAACGCACGGACGAAACACTAGAAGTGAAGTTAAGGGGTTTGTCAAAGTCAAAAATGTAGAATTCTATAGTTTTCGATTTCGAAAATCTACTCTACTGTGATCTTCGGATCTTTTTTCTAGAAAGAAGAGAGTTCTCATGAGAATGCATTGATCTTCTGATATAAATATAAACTGTACATAATCCTAACACATGGGCAACGGCCAACGTTGTATTAATTCCAATAATTGATGATGATGTCAACTTTCCAGTTCTAAAAATGTTGTTCCAGATCTGTTCGGAGCACTTCTAGCAGTTACAAATGAAAACATACTCATGTTGCCAAGTTTCTTAAAAATTTAAAAATCAAACAGCTGATTATTGCTGATTCTGCAGCTGAGTCAACAAAAAAGTAAATTATTTGTTATTATAAAAAAAAAAATCAACAAATTAATACATATGAAATTATATTTTAAAGATAAGCCTTGAGCTAATAATAATATGTAACTCTTTAATTGTGCATTGTTAAAAATGAATTCGGATTCTTGGGTGTCTTGGGTACGAATGTTTGATATTCCAGAAATAAGCAAACATAAAGATGGTTTTACAATTTACAGAGTTGTTTCCTTTGTAAGTATTTATCAGCTCGTTTTTGTATTAATTTTATGATTCATAAATTTTTCGGCTATTAGTAATTACATTATTTCTATGTACTGGCAATACAATATTTATCCATTCAGCCTTTGGAGGAAATTTGTTAACATATTATTTTTATAAAATTATTATTTTTTTGGCGTATGTGACACCTACCTGCGCTTTACAGTCTTATAAAAAAAATTATGACTTTTTTGGAAGCACAGTCTCACCAAGATGTAACAACTGATGACTGTGGTTCGGAAGTCCTCTGAGAGCCCCACGATAAACTGTAGGTCCTGTGCTGTTAGGACATTAATGGCAATAACAGTCTCATCAGATTTAACCGCTTACTGTTGGAAAGCCTACAATGATTATAATAGTGAATTCAAGAGTGAATTAGTCTCCTGCAGCAAGTTTTGTGGCTACATAAATTATCAAATCTAAGTTGAAAGAATTGGTAGGTCATTGGCATCAACAAAAGATAAGGCTAGAACTAAAAAAATTCTCTGCATACAATGATATTTCTAGAAAACATTTTTGAGGAACCCTTTAATAGCGCACCCTGTTGCCCTTCTTGATTAACAATTTTCATCCTAATCTCCTTACTTGTTCTCACTCAAGAAAAATCAAGGGGTAAACCGCCCCCTTCCCCCCAAATTTGTGCAAACAATTATTCAAATTCCTCCATATTCACCACAAATTCTTCTAAATTCCCGCAAATTTACACTTGTCAAGTAGGATCGAGAGTAGGATCAAATACAACAAGGTTACGTTAGTTAACTTTGAATGATTGGTTTTTGGCTCAGAGAGGTTTTTGGTAATCCAGAATTCAGGGGGTTAAACTTATCTGCATTCTCGTGTTTTGTGTCCCTTTATTTTAGATGTTAAAAATTAAAGATGCTTTTGACAGCAGAACGGAGTAGTGTCTCCGTCTTCCCAAACGGGTTTGGAAGCAATTTCTTCCGACGACCAGTTCCAGTTCCTGCAGGTGCAAGGGACGTTCCTTCGCCGCCCCAACGCACTCGTTTAGGGTGAAACCACCTTTTGCCACCACAAGCCACCATGAAGTTTGTGAGTTGAGACAAATTGCAAACTACAAATATGGCCGCCTGATACCAATGGCCCCTGTACCCTAAAGGACGATAAGAAGCAGCTATTTGGAGCCCCTTGTGACTCCTGCGTAATCCTACTTGGAGTAGGATTATCTTTGCTGGAATGGATAGAGCCTTGTCAACAAATGATGAACCCAGGGTTGGCATAGAATTTCCCCAGGTTATAAAATCCAGTGGGGTTTTTTGGTTTTTTTCAATTGATAAAACCCACCATTATTGGGTTTTTTGGGTTTTTCTAAAAATAGCAAATTTTCAGTTGAATGAGCGTCATTTTCACAGGAAATATCAGGGATTCCCCGATGATTCCCTAAGTCCGCGGCTATTCTCTGTTGGCGTGGAGGTCTGGGCAGGGACTCATTGGAGGTATTTGATATCATAAACACACTAAAGCTAAAAAAAGCTCCTGGGCCAGATGGACTAACTGCAGAAATTATAAGAGAAATCGCGATATATATAAAAGAGCCGCTAACGTTTATCATCAATAAATCGATTACTGACGGTGAATACCCATCAGCTTTTAAAGAAGCTGTTGTGAAACCATTGTACAAATCGGGGGAAAAATCAACAGTATCAAATTACAGACCTATATCCCTAATTAGTAATTTATCAAAGATATTTGAGAAAGTTTTAAAACAGCAAATTTTGTCGCATTTGGATGTAAACAATGTCCTCTCCGAGTATCAATATGGATTTCGAAAAGCGAGATCAACTGAGGATGCAGTGGCGAACTTAGTTTCAAAAGTAAATACTTCACTCGACAATGGCGTTCCTTCCATTTGCATCTTCGTTGATCTTGCAAAAGCATTCGACACCATTTCCCAACCAATTATGGTCAAGAAACTTCAAAACATTGGATTTACGGGCAATGACTTGAACCTAATGAAAAGTTACTTGGATGGCAGAAAGCAAAGAGTTGATGTTGATGGCGCACTTAGTGATTGTTTGAACGTGGAATGCGGCGTTCCTCAGGGAACCGTGCTCGGCCCACTTCTATTTATTATATATGTAAACGATCTTTTCAAAGTCAAGGGGGGGGCCGAGGTAGCGGCGTTCGCTGATGATGCCGGGTTTTATTATACTGGAGATACCTGGGAGCAACTCAAAGAGAAAATAAAAAATAACTTTGGTAAATACATTGAGTGGTTTAATACGAACATGCTTACAGTTAATTTCAAAAAAACAACCTTTATGCCTTTCACATGTTATAGCAGCAAACTACCGCCATATGACTCAATCCAACTAAAGTTCAATTCAGAAAACGTTATCCTAGAAAGTTGCAATAAGTTTAAATACCTTGGAGTCTTTCTTGACAGTCATTTAAGGTGGGACTACCATACCGAATATGTTTCAAACAAATTAAGATCATTGTTGCACAACTTTCGTTTCTTCACTAAAATCTTTAATGTTGCACAGCTTAAAATATTATACTATGCACTTGCGCAGTCCCACTTAAATTATGGGATTTTAGCGTGGGGTGCTGTCACTAATAAGTATCTAGAGTCGGTTACTATAACGCAAAAATGGATAATTAAAATTATATTAAAAAAGGATAGACTGTATCCGACTCATTTGCTGTTTAGCGAATCCAGTATTTTCGATGCAAGACAACTCTACTTCCAAAAAATTGCACTGGGTCTTTTTCAGAATAAGATTCATGTGTCAAGTGTTGATCACTCATATGCAACAAGAAATCGTAGAAATCAGACAGTTGCAAGGCCCAAAGTCTCAAAAACTATAGGTCAAAGATGTTTTCAGTTCATAGCTCCCACAGTTTATTCAGAAATCGTAATATTTCTTCATACTCCGTCCACACTAGCTTTTAAATACAAGCTAAAATTATTTCTTAGAACCCAGATAACTCGAGATGAGGTTCATAGCATAATAGATTTCAAAAATAATTAGAATCCATACGTTCTTTTTCCTCGCCTTCAAGATGGTAAAAATGTGTCCCATCAGGCTTGAAATTTTGCTATCATTGTTTTTGTTACTCTCCATCAAATTTTTCTTGGGTGGGTTTTAGGTTAGCTTTATATACAAATAATTCAAAAAAAAAAAATATATATATATATATATTTATATGAACTGATAGGTAGTTAATTGGTCATTTTCCTGGGTGATTGTTCAGAGGACCTTATATCCCATTCTACGCGCGAGTTCCACTCTTGTAGAGGATTCCTAAGGTTGCCTGAATTTTTATTTGGTAAGAAATATCAGGAAATAGATTAATTTATTGTAATTATTGGGTTAGATTAGAATTAGATTAGATATTGAATACTTATGTTGTATATATGTATATATTCCCACGTACGAGGATTCTCTTGTGGGAAAACCCTGTATTTATTGTTTAGGATAAGTCATAAATGTACAAATTGAAAGATTAACAACAATAAATGCTATATAATAATAAAAAAATAACTCAGTACCATGTAAACTTTAGAATTCATCATATAGAATGTGCCGAGTCTATAGAATCCTGTTGATATGTAGAATTCTACATGACATGGAGTCTCTGGGTTGGCCAGCCAGAGGCGTGGTGCAGTGCACTAATGCCAAGTGTAATTATTTATATCAAGTGGCTTGCTTTATTTTGTAAGGATATTATTTTTTCTCCAAACGTCGGAAAAACGTCACTTTGTTAACCCCTGTCAAGATGTCAGAAATTTGATTTCTATGCTGCCAGGCAAATCCAGCAGGTTAACACCTGTTGAGGTGGTAGAAATTCAATTTCTATGCTGCTTAGCAACCCTAGCGGCAGCAAATGTACTTCTAGGGCCGCTAGAGCGGCAGTAAAATTACTTTTAGTGCCGCTCGTACTTTTACTGCAACTCAACCATCCACTTGCCCCCAAGCTTACCCCATTCGTTTGGAGAAAAAATTTACCCCATTCGTTTGGAGAAAAAATAGCGTGTTTCATACGGAGTAGAAGCACTTTTTTGTGCTCCAGCAGTATTTCAAGCCTCACTACGTTCGGCTCGCAAACCTACCGCTTCAGCACAAAAAAGTAAAGCTTCTTCTCCTAATACAACAATATACTATTCTCGGATATTTTATTTTTGCAACAAAAGTCATAATTTTTGTATTACTTTTGCTAGAGTAGAAACTATAAATCAAATTTGAAGAAAGAAACGGAAAACCTGAAAAAAACCCAAAAAAAAAACAGAAAACCCAAAAAAACTAGACGGATTGGACTTTTTCAAAAAAACGCAGGTTTTTTCCAACCCTGGATGAACCTTTGCCAACAAACGCAGGTGCCGCTGACAACTCTAACAGCTTGATGGTAGAGAGTCCTGCTCCTACCCCTCTAGATTAGGATGTTATCATCACCACCATGACACGATTGATAGAAGAACAAGCACAACATGTAACATCTAAATTCCAGCATTTTGCACAGGCCATTAAAGAAGCAAACAAGGATCTGGTTCAGTTTCTGTTCAAAAGCAATATATTGCTAAACAATGTATCGCCCGGAGTATTGGCAAATTTATCAACAATAAGAGCCAAGAAATCTATGGGAGGTGGCCTGGAGGTTGGCTCTAGAATGAAAAAACACTAAGGAAAAAAGGTGAATAGTTGGACAGAAGAAAGCACTGGGAGATAAATTGATGGATGGCCTCCACTCCGCAAACGTCTATTTTTGTCTCAAAAGTATCTCTACGACTTAATGAAGCAAGAAGCAGACATAATGGAATATCCGAGGGAATATCTCAAAAACAACTTTGGACCATACAACAGCTTTATTGTGGAGGGGGTTGAGGTAAAGTCTGGTGAATATAATGCCTTTAAAGTCAATGCAAGCCAAGACTTAGAAGAGAGCTTACTAAATCCAAATAACAGACCGAAAAACATAATAATAAAAAAAATCACCTTTTTTCGCCCCCAACAGCAAAGGGGAGGCAGCAGAACTTTTCGCCCTACACCGCCCACACCAAGAGGATTCAGTAACAGTAGAAACAGTATACCGTTGATGGGAACGGCAACACTGCCACTAGACTTGTTAACCTAAATGCAAGGAGCCTCCGCCGCAAATCTCTTGAACTGGAATTTTTTCTACACTGTCAGAAATACCCGGAAATCCTGTGTATCACGGAAACTTGGCTCACACACGACGAGGCCTCTTAATTTGTACTTATCAATTACACTTCAGTAACCACCTTCTCCAAAAGAGATTCTACAGCTGAGAGTGTCGCACTGTTCGTGCACCAGAAATTCTGTAAGCAAGCACGGTCAATGGATGGTGTTCCATCTCTCGAAGGGAACTTTGAAACTGCCGTAGCAATGATTGAAATCTTCAATAATACCCGTTTGATAGCTTGCATATTGTACCGTCCTCCTGGTACAAATTTTGATTGTTTTTGCCAGAAGCTTGAAAAAGTATTAGTGTCAGCGTCTTTAACTAAAAATAAGCTACTGTTGTTTATATCTGGTGATTTTAATTATGACTTCAAGTGCAAGACCAAGGAAATTACATGTATTAAGAACGTTTTCAGCTTGTATGTTCTTTCACAATCATTCTTTGAAGCGTCAAGGATCCAGGGTCTGCCTTGCACTGTACTAGATAATGTTTTTTCCAACTCTAATATAATCTTGACAAGGACATTGGATCTGACTTTTTCAAATCACAGAGCTGCATTTTAATTCAGGTGAAAGTGAGTGTAATCACCTAAAGCCCAAATCTCGATACTTCTCGCAAGAAAACATCAACTTTTTCAATTATTTATTATCGAAAAAAAAATGGCTTATAGACCTTTATCCACTTGAAATGGAGGACAAGTTAACTTACTTTTTTTCAATTTTTAATTAACTATTTAACATAGCATTTCCCCGAGCATTTCCCCTAAGAAACAAAAGAAGCCATCACAATAGGAAAAAACAATACTCGTGGATAACCTCAGAGTTAATAAAGGAGGGTTCAGATCGAAAACTTCACGTACAAGTGAAAAGATTAGGCAGCCATAGGCTCCTAATGCGATACAGGTAATATGAACTTAAAGCACATAACATAAAAGGAATATTGCTGTGGCAAAAAAGTTCTTCAACTTTAACAGGATATTAACATCGGACATCATTAGAATGGCTTGGGAAATCATCAACTCTCATACAAATACCTCAAAGAACATTAAAAAGCCCTTACCTGAAAACATTGTGGTTAGCGGTACTGCAGTTACTGATCGGATGAAGATAGCAAATGAGTTCAATGATTTTTTTGTGGAGTCTGTAGAAAAGCTCATCGCCAGCACTGAAACAGGCTTGAGTCCGGTCATGGATCTGCCAAACAGCAATAAAAATTCCTAAACGATATTCCTTGCATTACTGGGTGACTTAGAGGTTCTTAAAATTCTGAAATCGGTCAGCAGTAAAAAGTCATGTGGTATTGATGAAATACCTTGCAATTTGAAAAGTGTGCCCAAAATATTGTGGAACCATTAACATATTTGATAAATATCTCTTTTGAACACGAGTGGGCATTGGTGGAAAACTATAGGCCGATTGCCCTCCTGTTGTTCTCGAAGATTTTCAAAAAGGCATCTCACGGAAGACTGGTGAGTTTTTTGGATAAGTTCAACATCCTAACATGTCGCCAGTTCGGATTTAGGGTTGATCGCTCAACGACCGATGCTATCTTGTCTTTCTAGCAAAAAATAGACAACTTCAACAAAAATTTGAACTCAGTGGATATATTTTACGATTTTACTAAGGCCTTCGACACTATAGAACACAACAAACTCTTGAATAGAATATCTCACTATGGCATATCGAGGATTGGCGTAAGACTGGGTTGCGACTTATCTAAGTGATAGAACTCAATGTCTTGAATTATTAAATGGGGGAAATTCGACATTCTCAGACTGGACAAATGTTAGATTTGGTGTAACACAGGGTAGTGTGCCTATCTTGCTCGTATTATTTATAAATGACTTCCCACTGTATGCGAATGACTTGTTACGTTGTTCGCAGATGACACTTCTACTGTTGTCGAAGATGTGGGGTATAAAGGGCTATGTCGGACGGCAAATGAGTGTGTCCGCAGAGTTTCTGATTGGTGCAGGGCAAACGGGCTCTGTCTGAATGGCACCAAAACAAGTTCTGTGCTATTTGCACCCATGAGAGTCCCCCAAGATAGAGGTGTGCTTATTAGGGATGGATCTAACAGTTCGCCGGGACTCTGTTAAATTTCTTGGAATTTCATTGGGCCATCATCTGTCTTGGCATGATCAAGTTTTCACCATTTGCAAAAGATTGTCAAGAAAGAACTTTATCTTATTACAGCTTAGAGACCATGCGAATCACAATACTCTAAAAAAAAATTATTATGCTGCAATAAACTCTATTCTGTCGTACGGTCTTCTTGTGTGGGGTAACGCCACGGATATTACCAGAGTCCTGATTTCTCAGAAAATAATGATCAGGACAATGTTTCGACTGCCGTTTGGAGAGTCTTGTCGCAAAACTTTTTAAGGCCGAAAGTATACTTACGGTCATAAACCTGTACATTTTACAGAATGCATGTGAAGTCTTTCAAAGGTACCAGACAAGAAACTCAAGCAACATTTACATACCCAGTGCAAGACTGACCCAGATCCAGGACGGTCATATGATAACATCTTCAAGAATCTACAAACACCTACCACATATTTAACATATTCTTCATTTAGATAAAAATTTAACTCGTCATTCTTTTAAATTTTTTAAATTTGGTCCTGTAAATCATGAAGTGAAATTTTGGGAGAATTTCTTTAATAAATATGAATGTCCAACAAAAACTAGATTTTTTTTCCAAAAAATTTGCAATAAGTGTCTCTTTCAATAAGGTTGTGAACCTCAGTGACTTCGTGACATAATTACCCTACAATTTTCTTTAAGTTCCTTACAAATTCCTCATAAATTCCTCCAAATTCCCCAATAATTCCTCCAAATACCCCATAAATTCTTCCAAATTCCTCATAATTTCCCTTTAAATTCTCATAAATTCCTGGAGTTTCCGATAGGTTTCTTAAAATTCTCCACAAATTTTTCTAAATTCCCCACATTTGGGCAAAGAATTCCTAGGTGGTTTGCTCCCTGAGAAAAATCTGCGTTGCTAAAAACTAGTTCAGGGAGATATAGGTCTATTTTATCTAAGGTCTGACTCTGAAATTTGTTGATGGTAACCGAAAATGCTAGCCTTACTGGAAACTGGATCAGGATTAACGGGAGCTAACTCTATTCTTGAAATAAATTGACCTTATTGACACACCCTGTATATAGCGAGCTATTAGAAAAAAGTATTGCAGAGCCTAAAGTCGCCATAATTTTCCAAATCGACCGGTTTTTGTTTCAACTCTTTACTCCGAATAATAACTGATAATTTTGAAATAATCCATTGAATGAATTCAATAACAATACTTTTATTGTAGTTGTATCCTGAATCATGTCCAGATGCAGTAACAAAACTGATCGTATGGAAACGGTTCAATGATTTCAAAACTTTGCACAAGGAAATAAAACTAATACACAAAAATCTAAAGTTGATTGATAATGTTCCCAATTTACCAAAATCAAGTTTATTTAAAAGGTAACTTTCCTCACTTGCATTTTCTCTCCTAATTTATTAACTTATAAATTCTTGACCTTTCAGATTTGATGAAGAAATTATAAACCAAAGAAAACGAAGCATTTTAAATCTTTTAGAATATATAGGATCTCATTCGCAGTTGTTTACAGCACCTGTTTTTGTTAAATTTTTCGAGGTAAGGACCTAATGTCACCCCATTTGAAATTTCGAATAAATACTGTTATACTTACAGACAAGCCACACTCCAGCTGAACTACTTAGTAGCAATATAAACGCAATTAGAGCTAATTTAAATTTACCAGAAGATACAACAGATCTTTATAATAACTCTGAAGATGATAGAACCATTAGTGATACAGATTCTTTGACTAGTAGTAATTTGGGATCTACATCCCAGCAGGTATCTTTTCAAAATATCTATTTACACAAGTAATAGGAATAAAATTATAGTTACTAAATTAATGAATTACTTAGTTAAACTAGGATTTGATTTGGTTGGTGAATTTTAATATTTTCAGGCACTTGATCATATGTCGGATTCCATATCCAAAACCAACTTGAGAAAACTACACTCCATGACATCAATCGATTCGCAATGTTCTTCAAGCATTTCGAATATCGACAGCAGTTTGTTGTTATTCGAAGGACAACAATTGTTGCCAGTTGCTCAGTATTTGACGAACGCTTCTCTACACATTAATATGGCAATAGATTTGGAAAATGACAAACAGTATGAAGAAGCTTTTTCGGCTTATTCGACTGCAGTAGAAATATTGATAAGTGGTGGCAAAGGTATTTTTTTAGCATATTTACATAATATTCTTTAAATTAATTTATTTTTAGATGACTCCGATTATGACAGAAAACAAATGGTAAAATATAAGACTGAAAAATACCTGATAAGAGCAGAAAAAATATATAATATGTATTTAGCGCCAGAAATTAGAGATTTAAATTTACAAGTAGGTTTCAATAGACTTAAACTTAATTTTAATTATATTTCAAGATAATTTTTAGAAGAAAGAACAAATTGACGAACCAAAAATTGTTAAGGGACCACTCTACAATCTATACAAATATAAAGTGATTAAAATAATTTCGCCATCTGGCATGTTGGTTTTGCATTCAGAAAGACAACAGCTCTACTATATTAAAGTAAGTACAAAAAATTCAAAAATATTGTAAATTGTTATTTTTATTGTAGGTCATACACAAAACAGTACAATTCTTAAATAACCATCTTATATTACCTGAAAATGTGCCTTATATGGTGAAGTTAATCAATCATTACAATTCTGACAATGCCTTGTTTCTTGTTTTAGATTATTGTAGGTGAGTGTAATATTTTTCAAATAATATAGACAAAGAGGTAACGTCTTCTTTGAGAAAATACAATATTTTTTTTATGTAAAAATTGTATCTAACCTGAACAATCCACATCCTTTCAATAAATAAATTTTTAGTGGTACCAAATTACAAGATATTTTACGAAGTAAATCAGCCAATGTAGCACCTAAAGAGGAACAACAACTTCTCAGAAAAATCCATGACCAATCAGATAACGATTCTGAATTGAGTTTTTCCGAATTGCTTAATGATTACGCTTCAAACAGGTCGACGAAAAAAAATGACACAGATAGTGACGATGGTTTTGAAAAAATTGACCATTCTGATCTTCGGCCAGTCAAAAATATTCTCGATCGGCCTTTGGAGGATATTAAAACTCAAGATTTGCTGAGCTTAAGCGAAGAAGCTGCTTCTTCAGTAAAACATTCCAATAGTCGAACTTTAAGTGAAGTTTCCAGTTTTGAATCAGCCGATGAATTTGATTGTAGAAGTAGCGTGACAGAAGAACAAATTGTCAAGTGGTCTTCTCAATTGTTGGTAGCTCTGGAAAAACTCCATTGCTTAGGAGTTGTCTGTACAGATTTGCGAATCGAGAATTTATTAATTGACGAAAATGATAATTTAGCTTTGACTTATATGTGCAACATTAAAGATTTATGTGATCTATATGCAAAAGGGGTTAATTTGGATTTGGCTCCTGAAGTTTATAGCTTTGAAGAAATAACTGAGGCTGTTGATTGGTGGAGCTTTGGTGCAATTTTATATGAATTGCTAGTAGGAATGGTAAGAGGATTTATTTTTTGTGTATGAAAATTTTAATAAAATGTTTTAGCCTTTAAGTAAAGTTCATCCAAGTGGTATAACAAGCTATACGCACTTGATAATACCAAAATACGTGTCTATAGAAGGAAAGTCTTTACTAAAACAGGTATATTTTTAATATTATTCAATTGATTAGTTACAAACAATTTGTTTTAGTTATTAATTTACGAACCTCAAGAACGACTAGGATCCAAGTCCAATGGCGTTCAGCACCTAAAGTCGCACCCATTCTTTCGTAGGATTTGTTGGAACATAGTGGAAATGGGTTCCAGTTGACCAACAAAATAATTTTTTGGTGCATATTTGTATTGTGATATTACTTATTCCCATTATTGAGTACTTACTGGAGTACCTAACACTGAATTTCTCATTTGTATTGTTTTGTTAGAATTTATGTACACAGATGAAAGATATAATATAATGATATAATGTTCGATTTCAATCGAATTTCATTTATTAGTTAATTTGGTAATTCTGGGGAAACTGAAAACAAGGTTCATTGTATAAATTTAATGTATATATTTTTTGGGTTGCATATAAAATTTGCCCAGCCTGCACTAGGCCTGGTTCATCCAGGCACCCTTTTGCGGTACCTCTCTGTGTAGTATGGGTACCGGGTACCGCATTCCCACTCTCGAGCACCTGAGCGCCAAAAATACGCGCGACGTATTGGGAGGAACGGAAGACAGGCGCATATTAGCAATTCTATGAACAAGGTAAATTCTTGGCCTAATTTGAAATCTAATTTTTTGACGGATTTACAAACCGTTATTTTTGCAATAAATAAAACGTGATAGCTCGCTTACGGTTTAGACTTTGTCTAAAATTTACCTGCGTGTCGTTACAGTGTGTATTGTTTTTTTTCTAGTTTGGAACTGTTTTATTTAAATTATGTGTCACACTTTAATTAAACCCGTTGAATGGTTTCCTTTTTTTTTTTTTTTACGGATATGCGCACTCGCAAGGAAATGTCCTATCACGCTCGAGGAGCGGCAAGTGCGCGGAAATGTCGGTGTATGTTGGTCTTGAAACGGTTCAGGTTGTAACCTGCAGGGAAAACTGTCGCAGGGAGTTTATTCCACAGCGATGCTGTTCTCCAGAGATATGAATTCTGATATAATGAGGTTCTTGGTGCCTCTAGTTTGACAGTAAATTCATGGTTACCGTCTGTTTGACGGGTTCGCCTGGTAGGCGCTACTCTCGGTGGAATCATACGTGCCAACTCTTCAGAGCATTTTCCGTGATAGTACCTGTAGAAGAGAGATAAATCGCCCACAGATCTGCGATGTTCGAGACCATCCAAGTTACGAGTAAGTGCGGGGTCATTGATCAGCTTGATAGCTCGTTTTTGCACGGTGTTCAAAAGCATTAAGGTATGTTTGGGTGCTGCACTCCATATATGTGAGCAGTACTCCATAGTTGGTCGAATCTGGGCTTTGTAGAGTGTCAGCAATTGGCTTGGTGTGTACAGATGTCTTGTACGAAATAGCACCCCCAGCTTTTGGGAGGCCCTTTTAGCAATATCTGCCACGTGACTGTGCCAAGACATGTTGGTCTCTGCAGTAACCCCCAAGATGTTCAACTGACTCTGTAATGTGACAGCACTTCCAGATAGCATGATGTTTGGCTCACCGGTGCTGGTCTTTTTTGAAAACAGAGCTGCTTGGGTTTTCTGCGCGTTGAACTGTACAAGGTTTTTGTTACCCCAGTCCTCTATTATCTCCAGGTCGTTATTTATCTGCGATATTTGAGTTAGTCTAAGATGATGGAATTCACGTGCGGAAAGACCTGTGGGTGGTATGAGTGAGGAGACTACATTGCCATCGTCTGCAAAGCAATAAAGTGGATTTACTGTTTTATCTATGAGGTCATTTATGTAAATCAGAAAAAGAGTTGGCGAAAGGATTGCTCCCTGTGGCACACCAGCATTTATTTGGTAAGAGTTGGAGTTCTGGCCATCCAGTGCAACATAAATGGATCTGTCCTTTAGGTAACTTTCAAACCAAGTGCAAAGTATCGGCGATAATCCCATTGCTTTGAGCTTGTTGAGCAGATTTTCATGCCAAACTTTGTCGAATGCTTTAGATATATCTAAGGCAATTGTTCTTGTTTCACCCCGCAACTCAATCGCTTTTTGCCATAAGTGAGTGACGTATGTGAGTAAATCGCCAGTTGACCTATATTTTCGAAATCCATATTGCTTATCGTTGATAATTTTGTACTTTTCCAAGTACTTGGTTAGGTGATTGTTCACAACTCTTTCCATTACTTTTGATATCACCGGAAGAAGAGCAAATGCACTAAATTTTCCATAATAAGTTCTCTTTGGCTGATCTTGTCATTAATTTTTTTGATTTAGCTTCAGACTAGGGTCGAAAAAGAGTCGCCAAAGAGATTATCCTTTTTCGGCGCCCGCAAATTTGCAGGATTAGACAGCTCCTGTGGTTTCGTTTTGAAATTAACTTGAATGCATCTTTAATAAATGGCTGCAGGTTCGTGTTTTCAACTCAAAAAATACTATCTAGTGTGCATTATTGGAGACTAGGGTCAAAGTAATAATGATCATGTAAAACAATTAGGAGATATTTATTTTCACTCGAAATATGTACATAAAAATATGGTATAAAAAAACTAAATAAATAAATAGTGGGTCCAAACATTAGTAACAATTTTCAACATTTAATAGAAGTAAATATATATTTCAAAGAATTTGCTTTTTTCTGAGGAGCAAAGCGTAAGTGCAATAAAGTTTTGTTTTTTCATGGGAAATTTAAATAAGCTGTATGTTATAAAAAATACAAAATAAACGATTGAGGTATAAGATCGATTTTCAGACTTTTTGGTTCTTATCACTGCTTTATTTTCTATGGTAACCTACTTTTCCAAAATCTACTATATCGCTAAAATTTTATGCCAAGTTTAAATTAATTTTTTGTGCAAATATTAGGCCGTTTCAAACAAGCAAAGATTTTTACATAAAATAGTCATCTTAGACAATTATTATTCACATCACAAAATCAAAGATTTCAAAGCTAATGCAGTCCTAAGTTTAACGACTCGTCTGTTGGTGACTCTTTGAACATATTAGAAGAAAGGTCTATTGCCACATACAGGCCGCATAAAAGTAAAGGACCTATTATGGCACCTTCAACGCCCAAACAGAAAATTCCTCCTGCAATTGCCAAGCCGGTTAAGTACGGATGTCCACTGAAATGAGAAAATTTATTGTCATTTGTCTACATTGCAAGTTGACGACATTTTATAGATAAGCTACCAACTTATGTGTAATATATGGATTTTTTACACTTTGCACAAAACTCACCCTTTGATTTCCTTATAAATTGTTGTATCGACAAAGTAGGTGGGTGCAAACTGAAAGACTGCAAATAAAATGGCAGCCAACCATCTATCCTGAGACAACCATAAGTCTAAGATTCCTGGCACGCATGCCCAATAGGTGCCTAGAAATGGTACTGCACCAAGAATGGTAGCAAAAGCTAAAAGAAAAATTAATATGGAATTTGTACCCAAGTCGTGCTTCACGATACAAACTCTCACCTGTAGATAGATACACAATTTGTACATTGAACAAATTATGTATAAACCATGTCCACATTCCATAAAAGGTTGCCATTTTAAACGAGGCGGAAAATACACTATTAATAGCAGCTTCAAGAGCATGACCGAATCTTTTCCCACTTGGCGAGAATTTCGTCATTAATTCTACCGGCTTGTAGTAATCTCCGCTTGAGTTTAGCAAATAGAAGAGTGTAGTTAGAAATACAATCTAGAAACGTTTGTCATTATATTTTTCAAGATGCAATAAGATTTCTTACCAAGTTCAGAATAAAATTTAACACAGCCGTACCGCCTCCCAATACTATCGACAGGCAAGTACTCAGAGATCCAACAACTAGACTTAGATTGCTAATAACAAGACCCCACAGTGATTCTGATACCGACATGAGCATTCCTACATTTTGTTTGGCAAATTCGACCAGTCCATTGATATTGAAAATTTCTAAGAGATTTTTTTTATGCCTAAGAAATTATATAAATGCTTGACAAAAAAAACACACCTGGGGATTTCTGTATATCAGTAATGAACGCTTCCCAGGAAGTTTTGACGGCCTCTTCGGTCACTTTAGGGCCTAAACTTTGATTGGACGTCATCCAGGATTGATAGAGCCTATCCCAAACTTCCAAGAGTTGATTTTCCAATTTTTCAGATTTAATCGAATCGGCATCGTTTACTATACTTTTAATCTATGGAATCAAATATTATTTGTTATATTCTATACTGGTCAATTCCATATTTTGTCCTTCAATGACAATTAAATTGAAAATAGTACTTACAAATTTCGAAATCCCTTCCCTGCCATACTGATAAGTATTATCCAATATAGAATCCATAGTATTATCCCAAGTGGGTGGCAGCATTTTGCGCAATTCCGGATTTTGAACTACAGTTTGATTTATCGCATTGCTAGTCATTTGTACCAACATTATACCTTCTGCATAAATCTGTAAAATTGTTCAGTTGAATCATTAGTGTCTTAGACTTGAAGCATTTTTACCTGTAAAGCTGTAAATATAGAAGCACAAATCAAAAACACGATTAACCCGAATATAACTACAACACTGGCAACAGTGTCTATACTGCCCTTAATACATCCCTTGGAAAATGAATTGAATTTATGTATGACTTTGTAGATGCCTCTTATTGGCACAGGTACTAAAGCATCATGGCGTTCTACACACCAGTCACTGACATCATCAAAAAATGTACAAAATTTATCAAAAACGTAACTCCATACTCCCAAATAAATTCCCACATGTTTGATAATATAGTACGCTATAGGAATAGGTAATAACGGTAATAACATGATATTTTTCCAAATTAACATTACCAAACAACACCACATAACCGAGTATAAATAAAAAGTACTTTCATAGCTAGTGGTTTCCAACTTCCGATTACAATTTTTCAAGCTTATCTTTCGACTAAGATTCAAAAGATTCGATTTTCTAAGACGGCTACTAGCAAATTGGGGCTGCGACAAAGACCTTTGAAATTTAGGCCTAGGTTTTTTAGTATCGGTTTGCACCAAATGTATACCGCGATTCGTGATTAAAAGCCCAGCGGCTGGTTCTGGGCTTTCAATTTTCGAAGCTTCTTTGGTGTCACTGAATAGTTCTAATTTCCAAGGATCTTCAAGTGTTTCGTTGTAAGATGAAACGTCGCCGTTGCCTTTTTGAGATGTCGATTCACTCGATGGCGTTTCTGCAAATGTGACTATTGGGCTTAGAATTTGGGATTCTTCGTTATCTAGTTTTGATGGATTTGTTTCGATATTTTCTATTTTTTCCTCGGTATCGGTCTCGTCACTTATATCTAAGTCTATGGGTTTATCGTGGAAAGCAATTGATAGTAGTTTGGTGAAAGAAATAGGGTGACCTACAAAAAAAAAATTAAATAAATTAAATGATACAATTTTTTTAGGTAGGCGGAAAAAAAATTTTAGGTTCATATATCTGTGAGAAAGGTTGAAGACATGATTTTCCAAGGTTTTCAAAAATTGAACTTAGAATATCTCTCCCCTTAATAAATTGAAATTTCAAGTTTTTCTGAGAGTTTTTCCATATTGAGAATTTTATTGAAATGATCATTTGGGCCTTCTTTTACATCAAATGTTGAAATCTTAGATAATAATTTAGGACCGCTCAAAGTCCATACTCTCAATCAATGCAAGATAAGTTGAAATGTTTGAAAGTAGTCCGGTTGAAAAATGAGGTAAAATTTTCAGGATTTGTAGTCCTTTACTACAACAACATTCTTAGGACTTAGGACACATTAAACGACTACAAATAGTCCTTTACTACAACAACATTCTTAGGAAATTTGAGATTGATATCTAAGTTAGAGTCAAATTGAAGTCACGGTTTTACATATTTATCAAAAATTTAACTTAGAAGACTTCCTTCACAAATTTAAAGTTTTTCCATATTGAGACTTTTATTAAAATAATCATATGGGGCCATCCATACTCTGAATCAAGCAGGCTGATTCTAATATGAATAAGGAAAGTAGTGACAATATTTTATATTTTTTGGAAAAGTCTTGGCAATGAGCTCTATTCTTCAATTTCAAGAGAATATCGAATTTTTGTAATTTATAAGTTTGGGCTACCTTAAAATTGAGTCGCACAGCACCTATTCCAGAATAGAAGGGCTTATCGCAGATGTGATTCGAAAAGGGCAAAGTAGACTATTCTGGAAGTTGAAAAGTTAAGGAAACCAATCTTATCACAAAACGGAAATACATTTTCTGGATAAAGAATCCATGTGCCAGCTCCATTTCAGGGAGCTGTCTATAACAAGTTCCAACGACGTCAAACAAAGTGGTTTTATTTAGGACAAAAGGTTGCAACATACTTTTTATGACAGAACTTCAGTTTTTGAGTGTTGAAGCAGAGAAGGTTAGTGTCTCTCTAATGACCAACAGGTCCATTGGACATGGTTCTATGAAGAGCCACAATATCTGGGTTGCTCCAAGTGGAATATCATTAGCAAAAAGACAGATTTTGTCACTGATGTTCAGACTAGCAATGTCGTTGATAAACAGTAAAAACAATATTGGACACAACACGGAACACGGTGGAACTCCACATTCTATTGGCTTGTCGTCGTGTCCTCACAAGCTGGTTTCTGTTGCTAAGATATGACTTGAACCATTCCAGAGGAGAGTCTTGAATTCCGTAATACTACAACTTCTAAATAAGGATTACACAGTCGAATGCTTTAGAAAAATCCCAGAAAATTGATGCTGTAGTGTGCACATAGCATCAATAGTGTACCCTGAGATTAACACATGTAGTGTTACTCTGAGAGTGCACCTGTTGGTTAAAAATCCATATTGGTGAATAATTAGTACCTATGTTATATTCATGCAGAGATTATAGAAGCCTTTTTTTGAAGAATCTTTCAATAATTTTGGATAAAGTGGGAAGAAGTGCAACTGGTCAATAGTTTGAAGCTTGGTCCCAAGGGGTAAACCACCATCCCAGAATTTGTGCAAACAATTCCTCAAAGGAGAATTTTTCACGCATAATTCCTCAAAATTCCTGCAAATTCCACAAATTCCCAACAAATTCCTCCAGATACCCCATCACAAATTCCTCCAAATACCCCACCATGAACTTCTCCAAATACCCCACAAATTCCTCTAAATTCCAAACGAATTCCCCCAAATTCCCTGAAAATCCCCACAATTGCTCGTGACAAAAAAAAAATTATTTTTTCTATTTTTATTTCGCTTAGCTAAAATACAAGAGCAGTTTATCAAGTAGAATCGAGATTAGGATCAAATGCAAGGTTTCGTTAGTTGACTTTAGAGCTAGAACAAATGATTGGTTTTCGGTAATCCAGAATGCAGGGGTTTAAACTAACCTAAACCTTTCTAGGAAATTGAAACAAATATAATACTGTATAATACCAAGAATAGTACACATCATGTAGCTACTTTTTAAACAACTTGGGTAGGTATTGTTTCACAATATTGAGGATAGGTATATTGTTTCTTTATATTTTAAATGGACCTTTTCCTAAAAGGTGAACAGTTTTACAAGACCTTAAACAATAAATTTAATCTGAACCTCAGAATAGTCAGGCTGAGTAGGCGAAATGAATGTGTCTAATTCCTTTTTTAATAATTTGGAAATAAGTTAACCCTTTTTTCAACGTTCAGTCTTTTTTCCATAATATGATGCTAGGATACATACTCGGATTTGGTTACAGATAAACTTGTATCAACTTCAAGTAGCTTGAAGTTCCTTAAGTTCCTTTGCACTCAGGGTCAATTTTAAGGAGATTATGTACCTCTTCGGAAATCATAATCAATGCGCTTTTGAAGTTTATTCGATCTTCTGAAACAATGTTAGAACTAACTAATAAATGTTCACTTTTATTATGTTTTTCAATTATCCAATTATTCAATTCAATTCAAATTTTTCCAGTAGAAAATAACAACATGAGGAATTTTGGAAATCAACCTACAATAACTGAATTAATTGCAAATACAGTCTCACACATTTCAAAGTTTTCCTGGAACTAGTGAAAGCAAAAATTTGAAACTTTTTACATATGAAGAATAGAAAGGCTAATGGCTCATTTTCCTAAAATTTCAAATTTTTCCAGTGGAAAATAACAACATGAGGAATATTGGAAATCAAGGTGAGAAGCTCATTTTAGCAAAATTTCAAAGTTTTCCAATGGAAAATAACAACATGAAAAATCTTGGGAATCAACTTACAAAAACTGAACTAATTGGAAATACAGTCTCACACATTTCAAAGTTTTCCTCGAAAATTAGTGAAGGGAGAAATTTGAAACTTTTTGCATGTAAAGAGGAAGGTTAGAGAATCATTTTTCCAGAATTTCGAATTTTTCCAGTAAAAAAACACAACATGAGGAATCTTGGAAATCAACCTATAAATCCTACTATAACTGAATTAATTGAAAATACAGTCTCACATATTTCAAAGTTTTCCTGGAAAACTAATGAAGAAAAAATTTTGAAACTTTTTGCATGTAAAAAGGAAGGTTAGAAGCTCATTTTTCCAGAATTTCAAATTTTTCCAGTAGAAAATAACAACATGAAAAATCTTGGAAATCAATTTACAAAAACTGAATTAACTGAAAATACAGTCTCACACATTTCAAAGTTTTTCTGGAAGTGAAGGCAAAACTTTTAAACTTCTTGCATGTGAAGAGTAGAAAGGTTAAAGGCTGAATTTCCCATAATTTCAAATTTTTCCAGTGGAAAATAACAACATGAAAAATCTTGGAAATCAACTTGCAAAAACTGAATTAATTGAAAATACAGTCTCACACATTTCAAAGTTTTCCTGGAAAATTAGTGAAAGGAGAAATTTGAAACTTTTTGCATGTTAGAAGCTCATTTTCCCAGAATTTCAAATTTTTCCAGTAGGAAATTACAACATAAGGAATCTCGGAAATCAATCTACAATAACTGAATTAATTGAAAATACAGTCTCACACATTTCAAAGTTTTCCTGGAAAACTAGCGAAGGAAAAATTTTGAAACTTTTTGCATGTAAAGAGGAAGGTGAGAAGCTCATTTTACCAAAATTTGAAATTTTTCCAGTGGAAAATAACAACATGAAAAATCTTGGAAATCAGCCTACAAAAACTGTATTCATTATTCTTTTGAATTTTTTAAATTTGGACCTGTAAATCATGAAGTGAAATTTTGGGAGAATTTTTTTAATAAAAATGAATATTTAACGTCCAACACAAACTAGATTTTTTTTTAAATTTCCATTTTTTATTATTTCTTATAATAAGAATATGAACCTCAGTGACGTCATGACCCTACAATTTCCTTTAAATTCCTTATAAATTCTTCACAAATTCTTCCAAATTCCCCATAAATTCCTCCAAATTCACTATAGATTCCCCAAATTCTCATAATTTCCGATAAGTTCCTTCAAATTCCTCTAAATTTCCCACAAATTCCTCTAAATTCCCCACATTTTTGGCAAAGAATTCCTAAGTGGTTTGCCCCTTGCTTGGTCCTTATCACCACCCTTGTGCAGAGGAATAATTAAAGCCATCTTGAGGCAATCTCGAGGGCAATCTGGAAACATTCCTTGTTGGAAAGACTGTGAATGTATTCAGCAGATTTAATGTACATTCTGGTAAATTAAAAATTATTTTTAAAGTGAGTCCATTAGTCCCTGATGACAATTTGTTTTTGATGTCTTAGATCATATTGCAAGTAAAGCTCTGGTGTTTCTACAGGTGTTAGAAAGAAATTGTGTAAATTCATATTAGAAAAATATGAAAGCAGATCACGAGAAAGAGCTTATAGTAGTCATCATTTTTTTTGCCACACTTACAAAGTAATCGTTTAGGTCAGTGGTTCCCAAACTTTTTTAACCTACCGCCCACTTTTAGAAAATGGGAATTATCCAGCGCCCCCCTTGGCAGGGATCCAAGATATGGAAGCGGCACCTTTTTTTTTGAAAATTTTCATAATCATGCATTTTCTTGGCAAGGGACTGAGCGTCAAGTTACCTCCCCAGTAGGATTTTGTCAGAAAATGACCCAATATGGAAATTTTGAGAGAAACCTGATACAGCACAACTTAGCAGCACCCTTCAGATTGCATAAGAATCCGTTTTTGTTTCATCTTATTTCGAAAATTTTGGGAGGCTGAGCGTCAAGTTAGCCCCCCCCCCCCCCCCCCCCCCAGTAGAATTTTGTCGAAAAATTACCGAATATAGAAATTTTGAGAAAAAGCTGCTACAGCACAGTCCAGCACACTTCATAGATTGCATAAGAATCCATTTTTTTTTAATCTGATTTACAAAATTTATTTTTATTTTTTTGGGGGGGGGGGGGGGCTGAGCATCAAGTTAGCTAAGAGTCCAACATTTTGGTTTAGTCAAGCTAGCCCCTCATCTTGTTTTTCCTATAACTTTGGTATCAGAACAGTAAGGGGGCTAACTTGACAGAGCTTATTTTTGAGCTTTTTGAAGTTATTTATAGGTAAAATAACTTTAATGCAGCTGCTGTTGATCAATGTGTGTATTAGTGGTATCCGGTATCGCATTTTAAGCAAGTCATAGCAGACTTACAGCGATTTCCATTTGTAAACTCAGTGCAAATAAAATGTATCCTTATCCCTATATTACACATGCCTTTAGAAGAAAATGCAGATACACTCAGTGGCCAGTGCACACTGATTGGCAAATGGAAATCGCCATTAGTTGAGGTGCGTTCGGGAAAAGAGTCTAATCGTAGGAATTAATGAGGATCGGTGTGGTAGGCGGAGCCATGTATCGTTATAGGTTAGGTTATATTTTGCGCCCTTTATTACTTCAATTTCTACGATTACTTTCACAGGCATGGTGTGTCCTAGTTAGGATAAGTACGATACGTACGGTTTTTGGAGCAAATGGACCCCGGTTCGATTTTCGTTTGAGGTTGTTTTTTTTCTTGATTTTTTTCTAAGATTAATTATCAAGAGGACAGGTTAGTTTTGATTTGCTCTGTTTCTTCTAAAATACCAACACAAAGACTAGTACTTATTACAAATTAGGTACGATACGAGCTCTCCGCCCACCGCAGCGATCCTCATTTATTCCTACGACTAGACTCTTGTCGTTCGGGCTTCGGGATTTGCGTCGAAACTCTCGGGTTGCGTTCATCACTTGAAGCTTGCCAAAATTGACTCCAAAAAGCATAGACATAGACTGACTATGAGCCTTATCTTTATAGTATTGAAGAGTAATTTCCGTTAAAAGCCATTTAGGTAATTTTAATTTTTTTTCTGATCTGTTCATTTATTTTCCACTGCCCACTAATTTATGCTTACCACCCCCCCAAAATCAGCTGAGCTCTTTACCGCCCCCCGAGATGGTTGTAGCGCCCACTGGGGGGCGTTATCGCTTACTTTGGGAACGACTGATTTAGGTTCTCAGGGGAAGTAGAGATTATACTGGCCAAAAGGACTTATTTCTCAAATCGTTGATAATGGACCATGTTTCTTTAGAATTATTTTTTTTCGGTTCTAGCAAACAAGTTGTTATACCTTATATGTAGGTGTCTTTGGCAGCTCTTATGATAAATTTTTTTATAGAGTTTAATGTAGTTTTGTTAGAAGAGATTGTCCGAATTTTTTTTTTTTAGGTGTGACAATGAGTGTAAAGTCCGTTGCATGGTTCTTGAGCTATGGCTACTGTATAGACAGAGGGGACAATGGGCTATTGCTGCGTTGTCATATCGATAATATTTATTAATACATGAAAATTGCAATAAAATTTCCTTCATTTTCATGTAATAATAAATATTATTGATATGACAACGCAGCAATAGCACATTGTTCCCTCTGTCTATTCAGTAGTCGTAGCTCAAGAACCATGCAACGGACTATATACTTATCCTGCCGATATACACAATAGCCTTCAGCAGCAGGTTTACCTATGTTGATTTTTGATAGGCCTGAGAGGAAATGCTTTGAAAGTCAGACCATAATTTATTTGTTAATGTAGAAAATGCACTATCGATGTCATCAGAGAGGCAATTCCGAATTCCAATCAATTGTTTTACGTAAGTGTTTGAGTGTCACGAATTTTTTTTTCCGAATAAATTGGGCTTAACTTGAACAATAGAACTTATTATACCAGAAACTACTAATTTTGAAAACAAAAAGGCATTATTATCCTTACCAGCAGCATTCATATTAGAATAAGCTTCATACACTTCCGAAATGAATCCACCAAAAAATATAATTTGTAGTATTAAGAATATTGGCATTTGGAAACTACTGAACTGACTGGATAAGCAGCCTGATCCGAATAACCAGACAACAGTTGAGGCGTAATGGAAGTATACATTGTTATCTTGGCTCCACAGTAGGAAAACTAGAGTCAGATATCCAACAGTACCAATAGATATCTGAAAAAATAAGAGATAAAAGCTGTTTTATTATAAACTGATAAACTTACCACAGTATAAGTTGAATTACTAATCAAAAAGTTCAAAGATTTATAAATCCAAACAGTACCAGTCCATAACATCGATATCACAACTCCTGGAGTAAACATGTACAATAAAACAGCCACTGGTATCAATATAGCTATAGTCAATATCAATTTGAATCTATCCCATAAAAATTGTCCAATACATTCGGACACGTCATTCAATATGTTCACAGGAATTAAAATAATCCCTAAAACAGTAGGCGTGTTGGTGTCTTCCAGCATTTGAAACCAGCCTTGAAATGTCTCTCTCAGTGATCGTTTTAAAGGGTGCAGGGCTGAGCCAACTAAAAGGGCCCACATCAGAGGTTTGACAAAGGGTTCCAGTATCATGTACAGTCCGAGCGAGGCTGCAGCGCAAAGAAACAGGAGAAATAAAGCGACGGCATTGTAAAGGGCTTGCTTTACCGGCTTGTCGTGTCCCTGGGGCAGGCTGCCAATCACCCCGAAAAACGATTCCAATGGTGATCGATGATCCATTTTTCTGTGAGTATCTGAAAATAAATTATATGTTTGTGGTGTGACAGTTGATTTATAAAAGCGGTGTGACAGTTGATTTATAAAAGCATTGCTGGTGCTATATGAAGAATACTAACGGAAAATCATAGAAGAATTAATTATAAGATAATCGTTAAATTTAACTCGAAGGTCAGATATTAAAAATTTGTATACAAATAAAGAATTTATAACTGTCAGTGCCAGCCACTGCCAGCTGATAAGATTAGATTTGTATTTTTTTGCAGTTGGACACACTGGTACAAGTACCAGCAAATTCAATGAACAGGTTCAGTGTTCTGTGTCGTTTGTATTCCATTTGGCAACGCTGTGAAACATCAGGGGTGTGTTGAAAGACGGCAATGCCTGTGGCAAGTGCTTATGCCAAAACTTACTTTTCCACCTCCACCGGTAATGCCAAACCACGTAGGTCGGAGCCAAACTCGAACGCAAAATGCCAATTTTGGCTTGGCTGTAGCCATTCCTCTGAACGCAGCCCAGGGGTGCGTTCAAAGACGCAATGCTAATGCCAAAACTTACTTTTCCCCCCTCCACCGGCAATGCCGAAACACGTAGGTCGGAGCCGAACTCGAACGCAAAATGCCAATTTTGGCTTGGCTGTAGCCATTCCTCTGAACGCAGCCCAGCAATTGTTGAATGTCTCCAACTTCAGAAAAATTAAATATAAGGCGATTTCGGCAAGCTTTGGTACATGGTTTGGTACCCTGTTTGGTCTGTCAAATAGGATACCGTGGTCAGCAGCACGGTTCTAGTTTTTTACCTACCAAGGAAACGGATGCTACAGCTTTTGACGTCATCATTTTTACTATACAGGGTGTAGCATGTTTTCCATAAATCTTCTTTCTAATCTTTCCTACAGACAGAGTAAAAAAACAACTTACTTTTGTAAGATAATTGAGGAGTAGGAATAGTAGGTATATTGAACACCTAGGCGGTAAAATGATATTTCTCCAGGCTGAAAGAAGAAATGTACGGGCGAGCCTCAGCTTGAAGTTCAGTCGTGAGCATTAACCCTTTCAGGACGGCAGTATTTTCACGTGTTTTAGCATGTAGACGGCAGTTTTTCGCATGCCGGATGGACGGGTGTCAGATATATCTGCTTGCATTGTTATTTCTGAGCAATGCAATAATATGGAGTACCTACCTCACGTTGATCCAATCCGCAATAACTATTATCGTAATCATTTTGCACTTTAACCCGCTTTTTTGAAGGTCCTGGCTGCTCCTCTGCCGACATTTTGAATGATACTAGCCTAGTCACGTAGGGTACTCACTGAACTTGCCACCCCGACGACTGTCGTATATTTCGGTCGTTCATGGCGTGGCACGGATATGTGTGGCCGATTGTTCCGGTCAGTCGTCTGTACCGCAAATTGATTTTTCAAAGGACCACGCACGGATCTTATGAGAAAAAATAAATTTCACGATTGTCATGAAATTGAAATATGTTATGCTTCTCGACCTCCTGAACATAAGTTCTTGTAGGCCCAAAAAGATCCTATGACTAGTTTCGGAGATACGACCGATAAAAAAAAAACATTAGCATAAGAAAAATCTCCAGAATCTCCCGGGCTGCGTTCAGGAATGGCTACAGCCAAGCCAAAATTGGCATTTTGCGTTCAAGTTTGGCTCCAACCCAAGAATCGTAAACTCTACGTGGTTCGGCATTACCGGTGGAGGGGGAAAAGTAGGTTTTGACATTAGCATTGCCGACTTGGACGCACCCCTGGTCACCTGGTCATTAATTTAATTCATAACCAAAAATGACATATTTTTGACATTTTTCGACAAACTTTTAACCTAAAAAGCTTCGGATGACATTATTTTGACTTTTTTTACCTGTTTTTAACCTAGAATATGTCATTGCCTAAACTCAACATATTTCGAAATGTTTATTTCTTGTCAAAATTTTTATGTTAACCCGGCGCCCCTGTATCTCCGAAACTAATCATAGGATCTTTTTGGGCCTACGAGAACTTATGTTCAGGAGGTCGAGAAGCATAACATATTTCAATTTCATGACAATCGTGAAATTAATTTTTTCTCATAAGATCCGTGCGTGGTCCTTTGTCTGAAATATATGACATCAGTCCATGGAGCATTGAGCATGAATAACTCGATGTCACATATATCGGACAGCCCTCTGTGTACCCATTTGTATGTGGCAGATATATCGGTCAGCCGTACCGAAAGGGTTAAAAGTGGGACACCCGACTGACAGGTGTTGTCATTTTTCGCTATTTTGGGTAAAACATGGCGAATTCTTTTATTCAACAATGGATCCATCTGCTGCCAGAATTATGAGACAGCCATTATTCCGATTTTCTATGAACTAGACAAAGATAGACTGGTCATCGATGGATCCATTGCTGAACAGAAGAAAGCACCCACAGTCTTTTCTGTACAACTAAACGGATTTTTTGTCAAATATGACAATCCCTGTCATTGCCGGCGGTGTAGTTGGTGACTGGACTGATAATTCCCCAGTCAAAAATTTAGTAACTATCGGTAACTATAGCCGCTTTCCAGCTGTGTGCTTCAAGCACGGTGCAGGATAGTGTTCTGTGTTTGAAACGCAAAAGTTAGCAGCTCTCGAAGCGCAGTACGGCTGGAACACGCGCTTGAAGCATTTGCGCGCGCAAAAGCTCGATGGCGTGCTCAAAAGCGTCAGTGGAAAGCGGCTTATGTTGACAATGACAACACAAGCCTTTTTTCTACATAAAATTTTTTTTCTACAAACGTGTTAAAAATGCAATTTTTAACACCGCCCCGAAGCATTAAAAATGTTACTTTATCGCACTAGTGCCATAAAGTCTTTATAGCACTAGTGTTAAAAGTGAAACATCAAATTTTGAGAGCGGACGTCAAAATAGTACATTAAAATACAAGTTTCATAAGACGTAATTTTAACGCACGAGCCCTATATTAGAAAACGAGCCGGAGGCGAGTTTTCTAAAGGGCGAGTGAAACGAATATTTTATACTATTTTTTCTATTTTGGTATTGCTTGATTGAGAAAAAACAAATTTTTTTTGGAAATTTTATTCTCATATTTCGATTTCATATATTTAGGTTGGTGACACTACATGCCAAATTATAGAAATCTTCTATTATAAAATCGCGAATGACAGTTCGATGGCCATCAGTCAGCCAGGGTTACCAACCTCCGATAAGTAAAAAAGGAGTGTCACAAAGAGCTTCTTTTCGAAAGTACTTTTAGTGTCGAAAAGACTTCGATATGACACCAAAATAGAAAAAAAGTTTGTATTTTCAGTTATTTACATTGATATTAATGGTGAAATTTGAACAACTGAGGTAGCCCGATTGGCCGCCTCATCTATATTTTTCGAAGGATCGATGCAACCCTCTTTTTCTTCTGTATTTTGTTGCATTTTTAGCAAAAAGCATTCCTGACCACGACAGACACAAACGACAGACTTTCAAGAAACTGACAAGACATTTCGTTACCTGTAAAACAAGGTGCTGGTTGTATGGATTTTTTGGCATATGTCAATTTCAAGAATTTTATGTAGGAAAGATGCTTCCAATTTCATTTGAAAATCCAATTTGTGACTGGTTATTGCTTTTTATTGCCGTTTGTAGAAAAAATATTGTATGATATTTGTGTTAAAAGTATTTTTAAGGCACTTATGTGAATTGCAGAATTCGCTTCGCTCATTCTGCAAACTTTCACATGCGTGCCTTAAAAATGTACTTTTTACACTTATATCATAAATAACTATGAAAGCATTGACAATTTCACTGTATTGCCCACATAATGTCATTTTGACTGTTATCTTTAAAAAAAATATACTTCACATGGGAATTTTGGAAACCATCAAATATACAGGGAGGACCAAATCGGGAAAAAATTGCGCCATCAAGTGCCTACAAAAAATCTGTCATCAACTTGTTTGAACTGGGAATAGCAACAGATTATTTGTAGGCAATCGATTGCGCAACTTTTTCCCTATTTGGTCCACCCTCTGTGTCTTCAATGGTTTCCAAAATTCCCATGTACTTCAGGTTATTCCGAACGTACCTTGTATATGTTTTTCTTTCAGAAATATAACATTTTGTCTATTAGAAAAAAAATTAAAAAATATCTATTTTGATTTGATTTTTTTGATCCTGCATCAAAAGAGACTGTACAGGGTGGGCCAATTTGGACACTTCCTTATGGAAACACCCTTTATTTTTAGAGATAGAAAAAAATTAACCCCCCCACTCTGAGGCTCAAATTTCATGAAATTTTGATTGGTGCAAACAGCGTTTTGATATCTTCAACCGTTTAGCCGCTTTAGAGGGCGATTCTCGATTTTGAGCAATATTGTGAACCCTTCATAACTTTTTTGTTTATGAAAATAATTGATTTCCGTAAAAACTTTCTTGAAGCACTTTTTAAAACAGAATTCAGGGACGTTCTCAGTTTTTTTCTATTTGGCGCCGATTTTGAGATATTGACTAAAGTCTGATTTTTTTTAATGGGACACCCTTTATATTAATAGCTCATTGAAGAGCTATGATTTTTCTGATTTTAATGATATAAAGTTCGATGGGTTTATCTCTAACCGTTTTCGAGAAAAAAAATTATTTTGGTTTTTGTCATAAGAAACAATGTATTAGAAAGAGACCTTTTTTATTTTCCTTACAGATAATAAGTCCTTTTCTAACACATTGCTTCTTATGAGTAAAACCGAAATTATTTTTTTTCTCGAAAACGATTAGAGATACCCCTATCGAACTTTATATCATTAAAATCAGAAAAATCATAGCTTTGCAATGAGCTATTAATATAAAGGGTGTCCCATTGAAAAAAATCAGACTTTGATCAATATCTCAAAATCGGCGCCAAATAGAAAAAAACCGAGAACGTCCCTGAATTCTGTTTCAAAAAGTGCTTCCAGAAAGTTTTCACGGAAATCAAAATTTCATGAAATTTGAGACTCAGAGTAAGGGGTTCATTTTTTTCTATCTCTAAAAATAAAGGGTGTTTCCATAAGGAAGTGTCCAAATTGGCCCACCCTGTACAGAGTGGTCCAATTTGGACACTTTATGGCGGTTTTACACCAAACCGACTAGTTGAGTAGCTGTTTTGTTGCTGTTTTAAAAAACAAAAACTCAACTGTTTTTAACGATAAAACTGTTCTCACTAAACAGACAAAATTAATTGCTGTCGAGTTTTTATTTTCTGTCGTTTTACATCAGAGAAACGGTTGCAGTTTTGTTTAGTTCAATTCAGAAAGTAAATGGGTGTTCATTATTTTATATCCTACTGAACTATTAAAACCATATAATACCATGGTTACGATAATCATAAACAGGGTCTTAACTCCCAAGGGAGTTAAGGATTTTCATAACTCCCAAGGGAGTTAAGGAAGGGAGTTAAGGATATCATAACTCCCAAGGGAGTTAAGGATTTCCATAACTCCCGCTTTTACCTTGAATAGGTAACACTTTGACAAAAAATAGAAATTTTGATTTATGGCTTATTCCTTTATAAAAATAGACAGAATACAGTAAATTCAGTAGGATATAAAATTATCTATGTACCACGGGAATTATCAGGAGTTAATACCCACGGGCAATTGGTGTGGCACAAACGTTGCCCTGGGGTATTAACACCTGCATAATTCCCTTGATACATAAATAACTATTATAATACTTATTAAGTGTGAACAGTTTTATCGGTGAAAACAGTTGAGTTTTTGTTTTTTAAAAAAAATTGACATAAATCAAAGTGCATTTTTCAGAAGGCTGTGTCAAAGAATTCATTAATCTTATAAAATACATGATTCTGCAAAAGTTCTTTCAATTTACTCCTGAAAGTCCATTTATCTCGAGTCTGCAGCAGGTGATTCAGAATTTTTATTCCCATATACGTTGGACATTTTCGATTAACCTCCAGATCAAACCGAGGTGTTATGATGGAGCTATTGTTTCTTGTGTTGTGTTGATGTATGTCAGAGTGCATTTGGAAGTCATTTCTTTTCTTGTTCATAAGAACAGCAGTTCTGTAAATATATAGAGGTTTGTTAATGTGAACATTTTATGAGCTCTGAAGTACTCTCTACATGACTGCCGATGAGGAATAGAAAAGATTGCACGTATGGCACGTTTTTGCAGCAAAAATGCACTACCTGCATCCACGGAAACTCCCCATAACTCTATACCTACCATATTGAAAGAGGCTGTAGAAGTAGGCATAATACACTGTTACAGCCACATCCCGTCCAATATTCAATCTTGATGTTTTTATCGCATATATAGCACTGCAGAGATTTATTCAGGCATTCAACATGGTGTTTCCAGCTAAGTGATTGATCTATGTGCACTCCCAGAAATATGACATTCTCTTGTGATCGCACCTCTCCACCTGTTGTTGGAATATTGTCACCCACTTTTTTGTTTGGTTGAAATAGTACACACGTTTTATTTACGTTCTAGACCAGTTTATTTGCTGTAAACCATTTGTATATTCTATTCAAAATGTCCGCCCCATCGATTTTTAGATCATCTAAGCTTTTTTTATTCAATAAAAAGTTGGTATCGTCAGCAAAAATAGTAAACTTCAGCTCTGGAAAGTTATCAGCAAGATCATTGATATAATATATCAAAAATAATACTGGTCCTAAAATTGAGCCTTGTGGTACTCCACAGTTGATGGTCCTTGTTGACGATGAAATGTTCTCCAAAATATCACTCTCAAGGTGTTCTATTTCAACAAAAAATTTCCGGTCTTTAAGGTAGGAGGTAAACCACCTGTTCGAGATTCCACTAATGCCATAGTAGTCCAGCTTTTCCATAAGCACACAATGATCCACACAGTCGAACGCCTTTGACAGGTCACAGAAAATCGCAAGAGGATGGGATTTGCCGTCTAAGATGTGATTTACGTTCTTTACTAGATTATGTATAGCCTCGGTAGTGTTCAAATTTTTTTGAAATCCGTATTGATTTTCACTAATAATTGAGTTTTCTGCAGAGTGCAGCGTAGACTGTAACTTGATTTTTGACCACAGATTCTAAAATCTTTGACATGCAGGGCAGTAGAGATACTGGCCTATAATTTTCGGGAAGGTTTTTGTCTCCCTTTTTAAAAAGTGGCTTAATTTTGGCAATCTTGTAGCAGTCGGGAAACACACCCTTTTTCAAAGACATGTTTACAAGATATGTGAAAGGTTGCTTCAGATAATGTATGTTTTGTTTTATCACCGTTATGGGAATATCATCATATCCAGTGCTGCGTTTTGGTTTAAGCTTTTGAACCGTGTGTATAAGGTTCTTTTCCGATATTTCGAAGAATTTAAAACAATGCAAATGAGTCGTTGGAACGTTTCTTAAATAGTCATAAAAATGTACAGTATTTTCCAGATTAGCTGTTAATCTTTGAGGAACGCTTGCAAAATAATCCACGAAAGAGTTTGCCACCAAAGAAGGATATGTTAGTGTTACGTCATTTACATTCAGTTCTATATTTCCATTTGTCTTCGGCGGAATCTTTTGTATGTTGCATCTAATTGCGTCCCATGTCGCTTTTATCTTATGGTTTGTCGAATTTATTTTTGTTTGAAAATACTTATTCTTAGCCGTATGTATTATTCCTCTGCACCCTTGAATAAACCCTAACACGATCCCGCAAAAAAGTAGATGTATGAAAGTGATTTGCGAGAAGTATCAGAGACCTTTTATTCCTACATGATATCTTTATACCTCCAGTGAGCCAGCCTCGATCTGATCTGTGCAATCCAACTTTTTTAGACTGGAAAGCCTGTGTGAAGCATCCACCCAGAATGGAATGGAACATGTTGAAGGCCGAATTAACATCCTTCTCAATATATATTGAATTCCAATTCTCATTCCGAAGTAGATTAGTGAATCTGCTGGCGTTCCTCTCACTGTAAATCCTAATAGTCTTCGACAACTGTGAGTCTACCCTCCGCCCACAAGACAGGCTGATCAGTTGTGCGCTATGGTCGGAACCAAAACCAAGATCATTGTTTATTATTTCTAGGATTTCATCTTTATTTTTTACAAGGAAGTTGTCTAGGATCGATGGCGGGCCATTCTTGATTCTCGGTTTGGTGTAAAACCGCCATTAGATAGGCGAGGTCAATTTCTGAGCGAGATACAAAAAAAAAATGAATTCCCCAATCTGAGACTCAAATTTCATGAATTCTTCATTTTGATATTATAACGGTGCGCATCCGTCAGGCTCTCAAGAATCCTAAAATCTACAGTGAGTTCATAAAGTCCCACATAAATTCATTATTTTGAAAACGCTAGAATTTGTGAAAAATCGCTCAGACACGTCAATTTTGTTTTTTTTGTGTGAAATTTTCCGATATAATTTTTATCATACAGGGTGTCTCAAAAATAGCTTCGCCGGTATCAACTTTATTTTTTTAAATGGTACCTCCTGTATATTATGACATTTCTAGATTCTGCCGAAAATTCTAGACATATTTCTTATATAATGTCATATACCTATCTTCAACTGTTTCGGAAATATTGACAGTTGAAAATTGACTTTTTTGCAACTTTGACAGACTGTAAAACCTATACAGTTAATTTTACAGCAAAACCGATTTCAAATTCTCGTCTGTAGCTTTTCATAAGCTATCATTTGACACCAACTTTGAATTTAACCATAGATTAAATTTAACCGGAATTTTTAATCATGGATTTAACTTCAAAGATGGTGTCAAATGATGTTATGGAAAAATAAGTTGAGAATGTATGATCGGTTTTGCTGTGAAATTAACCATTCAGGTTTTACAGTCTGTTAAAGATGGAAAAAAGTCAAATATCAACTGTCAATATTTCCGAAACAGTTGAAGATAGGGATATGATATTGTATATGAAATATGTCTAGAATTTTCCCAGAATCAAGAAATGTAATAAAATACAGGGGATACCATTTAAAAAAATAAAGTTGATATCAACAAAGCTATTTTTGAGACACCCTGTATGATAAAAAATATATAGAAAAATTTCAAACAAAAAAACAAAATTGATGTGTCTAAGAATTTTTTCAAAAATTCTACCGTTTTCAAAATAATGAATTTATGCGGGACTTTATGAACTCACTGTATAATACTCTACTTTAATCGGCAAATAAGATTATCGCGGTTATTCTGGATTATACATGAATAGATTTACGGATATATAAAGGCCGGTATTAGTTAGTAGTTTTTAAGTTTAAGTTTTGCTGCTATACGATTTAGTTAGTGATTATTGTTGAGAGTTGTAAAGAGTTTAGTCGAGTTAATTAGTGTCAGAGTGTATAGTAACGTGGAATAAATTATTGTTGTGTTAATTGGACTTTGATTTTGAAATAAACGAACCTAAGATTTCTGTCACGCAACCCAAGGCCATGACAATATTAATTTTAATCCCCAAGCTTTAAATTAGAATAAAAATACAAACTATTAATAAAAATTATAAAATTTATTTATAATAAACCATTTTTTCGTTAAATCTATAAAAATATATCATGCTTAATATATTACAATAAAGTTTGTATACATTTTGAGTCACTATAAACTAATCACAGTTGGTTTTTGTGTAGCATTTTACATATATCCCTAAAATAATTTGTCTACAATCCACAAATGTTTTAATTCTAATTTCTTTTTTTGTCAATTCCTAGGCATAAATTTGTCTATTCAAGTTAACCCACTCTTCACACTTTTGAGCCACAGTTTTCGTTTCGCTTAATTTCTTAGCAGCATGCTGAAATTTATCTTCGTTTCTGCGCAAATACATGATGGCATCCCTTTCCAATTGAGCAAATTTTATTGGATTAATTTCAGACATTGATACCATTTCAGTCAAGTAGGGATTGAAACGGAAATAACTTCCTTCCGGTAATAAATCTGACAACATTGTGTGAACACCTAAAAGTCATAATTTATGTAATCAAAAAAGCAAATATTTGAAGATGTTTCTTCACCTTCAGTATCAGTTGCACTATCCAAAATTGCCAAAAATTTATGCTTCCACGAAGTATTATTATTCTGAGTAGGTTCAGTAGTTTCAATGGGATTTGGCACAGTTCTTCCAGTTCCAAACGAAATGACACATTGTATAGGTGTTCTAGGCCATAAGAGTTTGGCTTCATGAATGGCAACAGCTGTAGGATTATTAACCAGAATACCTCCATCCTGATGTATCATGTTTTTGATTTTAAACTCTTCAAAATAAGTTGGTGCAGCCGATGACGCTCTAACAGCTTCCCAAACTTGATGATCGTAACCTCCCAAGTATTGAGATTGGACTCTGCACGGTAAAGAATAGTTTCTAAATAAGTAGGCTGATATTCTTGAATGATTCACTAATGCTGAAACTGCACAATACTAAAAGATAAAAAAAAAAAACAATTATTTTTTAAAATCAATCATCAACATTGAGTAGGTACCTTAGGGCATTTTAAATTTCTATTAGTTTCAATAAGTGTCTTATCCCATTGATTTTTCAATAATGTCTCCCACAATTCCGTGTCGTAATAAGAATGTGACCATACAAGACTGCTAGTGCCTTTAAGAGCACTCTGTGTGAAAATTTGAGAACTAATTGTTTTGTATACGTCCAAAGCCTCATCTAAAGTATGTTGTTTCAATGCAATCAAAGATCCAATAATAGCACCCGTGCTGACACCACAAATTAAATCAAACATTTCGTAAACAGGTTTGCCGCTCAATTCCTCAAGTTTTCTTAGCATTTCTATTACAAGAATTCCTCGGGTACCACCACCATCAATTGATAGAATTCGAATTCCTTTTCCTTTCACTGGCTTCGCAGCTCCTAGCAATGCCATGGCTTCGTTTATAGCACATTGAATAGGTTTCACTTTGGTTTGCTTGTCGATTCTTAGTAGGAGTCTTAGGGCACCTTCCTAAAGTGTTTTCTAAGTTAAACACATGGACGATTAATTGAATAAATGTGTTACCTTTACAGCTGCATGTTTGGCTTCTGGGTATTGCTTCAAGTGAGCTACAAGGTCTTCGATTCTTGCTAATGTTGACGTTTCTGATTGGGCTAATGCCAGAGCTGATAACACTTGGCTAGTTCTTGAAGTAACTGATTCCTAGAAAAAAAAAACATGTTAAGTATGGGGTGGAGAGACATGTCAAATTTGGCTGTTCACAGTTTGCAGGCTTATATGTCCCGGTTTGTATAATATTCTGTGAACTGAGTAACTCAGTTTCGCTCAAATAGAAATGTTTCCGTGCAGTGATCAAAAGAGCATATATGACCTGCGACCAGAAGCTCCTGTTATAACTGCCAAAAAGCAGCTTATACTTCCACCTCGACTTCCACCAAAGTCAACTTATAAAATCCTGAGAAACAACAAGTACTACACTGCAGACTACAGCAAAATGAATGACTTGGAAGAGTGCAATAAATCAATACATACCATTGAAGGCAGTACAAGTAAACCAGCAGAAGCCATGGATAAATCAGAAGTTATTCACAGAAATCAACAAATAAAGAAAATTATGGAACAAGTATAGAAAAATAGAGAAACTTTCTTGCAAAAGCATTTCAGGTATTCTCAATTAATTAACTAACTCCCGGACTATAATAATAATAGTAATTGTGCCATCTTAACCTGATGTAATGTTTTTATTCTTGAAATTTGTTTGTAAAATTCGTTAAGGTAAATGTTTATTATAATTTATGTAAATTTTAGCCTGTTTTTTTTTTTAATGTAATTTTTAGCTTGTGTTTTAAACCTTTTTAAACTATTTTAATATGTAAATTGGAATTAGACAGTAGTTTTTATTGACAAGTGTAAACACATGAGTGTAAATTAACACAAATAAATTGATTTGATTTGATTTTTGATTATGAATGAGGTTCAATCATAAACTTTAAAAATAGTCACGATAAAAGTTTTACAAAGTCTTCACCTCGGTCTTCACATAATGAGCACATTTTGTTTTAAAAGTTCTTAATGAGTTGCATTCTTTCATGTCCCTAGGGATACTATTAAACAATCTTAAACCTACACTAAACACAGTTTCACTTTGGAAATCAGCAATATAGAAGTCATTCACTGATCTTGACCTAGTATTATGAGTATGAATATCTCTAACATAAACCACCTCATCAGTTAAATATGTCGGCAACATATTATTTTTAAATTTGTAAACAAAGACTAACATATTGTATGAAGCTCGTTGATGAACATTCAACAGATTTAACCTTTCGAGCATACTTCTAATAGGAGTTCGCTTATTGTATAATAAAATTGCCCTCATGCAACGGCTTTGCAGTTTCTGTAACATGTTTTTTTTGTCCTGTATTCAAAAAATGAAATAATGTTCCACAATAATCAAAATGTGGTGCAATTATTGATTTGTAAATTGTGAGTTTAGTGAATAGTGAAACTTTATTATTTAGCCTATACATAAAACCTGCTTTTTTTGCGATTTTCTTTTTTATGTACTCACAGTGCAGAGAAAGGTTGAGCTCAGGGTCTATCATTACTCCTAGATATTTGAAATATTTAACCTCTTCAATCTGAGCATTATCAATAACAATGTTGAGTTTGTTTTGTTTCTTGAGTTGAATTAAATTATGCTTTGAGGATAAAACCATAAATTTTGTTTTGTTTACATTCAATTTAAGTCCATTTTCCATTAACCAAACATGCAATTTATTAAGATCTTCATTTGAATTATTTGCAATGTTTTGAAATTCATTAATATCGCAAATAAAATAAAGTATTGTATCATCTGCAAACATTTTGATTTTACAATACCTTACATGTTTTATTATGTCATTAATAAATATGAGAAATAAAATGGGCCCCAGCACTGATCCTTGAGGAACACCATGACGAGTTTCAATTTTTTCTGATACCGAGTTTTTGAATTTAACCTTTTGAAATCTTTGTTCCAAATAACTCTTAAACCATTCTAATACTTTACCTGTAATGCCATATTTATTCATTTTTTGTAATAGTAAATCAATGTTAACAGTTTCGAAGGCCCTGCTAAAATCTAGGAAAACTACACCAATTACTTTTTTGTTATTTATCTGAGATCTCCAAGAGTATGTCAAAAACTGCAAAGCTGTTTCACACGAATGAGCCTGCCTATAGCCTGATTGTTCACTAATCAAAATATTATTTAAATTAATATAATGCATCAACTGATCTTTTACTAGTAATTCCAGAGCTTTTTCATAAACAGGTAATGTATTAATGGGCCTATGTTCTGTGCAAAGAATAGTTTTTGGTACTTTTTCTATTGGAATCACGGTTGAGCACTTCCACGCATCCGGAACGACACCCCGTGACAAGGACATGTTTATCAGTTCTAAAAAATATTCACCAACTGCCTCAATGGCCAGTTTAAATGACTTCAAATCAATGCCGTCCTCATCACTGGATCCCTTTCCCATGCCTGCAATTTTTTGTTTTAATTCGTAAATATCAATAACTCTAAAACTATCGAACGAACAATCTAACTGAGTGATTTTCTCCAATACAAAGTCATATCCCTGTACACTTTTAGTAGAATTTACGATATCTCTAATACTTTCTGTAAAATATAAATTAAAATTTTGTGCAATCTCAAAGTCATTTTCAAGTTGTTTGTCTTTGAATTTTATTTTTGAGGGTTTTTCATGTCTTTTTCCATTAACAAGTTCTTTAATTGATTGCCACATTCTTTTGCTATAACTTCATCAAAAACCAACCCTACAGGTTCGAAAACTTTGGAAACATTCTGAATATGGCAGTAGAGGAATACATTCTGTTGAAGTTCATAAAAGCAAATCAGCTGAAGCCATGGATTAACCAGTCGCACTTCAAAGACATCAACAAAAATCTTAAACTATGGGACAAATATGAACTTAAAAAAACGTAAAAAAGCTATCAATCATATATGATGCAGAATAATGAGCTCAAGCAAAAGCTAGATGAGGCAAAAAGAACATACGAAAATAATTTAGTGATATCAGAATCACCAAAGAGAATATTCAAATATCAAAGCCGAAATTTGAACTCAAAGGTGTCAATGATCACTATAAAACACTGGAGATTTTAGATAAGTCCACTGGCTGAAAGCTCTGCTCAAGAGTTCAACACAGGTTTTATCCATCAAGATTTCCCGCCTACCACTACTTGTACAGTGTACCAGAGTTGGGAACTCAATAAATAAAATATGATACATGTCACAAAAGAAAAGGTTACGGAAGCAGAGGACCAGATGAAATTCCTACAGTAAAACTTCAAAATTGTAGAGAAATAGTTAGTGGTGGACTCACAGAGATGATGGAGGAGTGCATAGAGCTTGAAAGAATCCCGGAGAAATGGACACTCTTTATAGTAATACCTTTATGCAACAGGCATAAACCAGAAAACTATCGACCCATAAGTCGCACACGCAACCCATTAATAGCATGGAAAAAATAATTGTGGAAAAGCTCACAGTATTTTTCTATAAAAAGAACCTAATACCCCCATCACAACACAGATTCCTTGCAAAACAATCAACTACAATGAATTTGCTGAATGCCTTGATAATTGGACAAAAGAGTATGATAATGCAGCCACCAGATATAATTTACCTCGATTATGAAAAAGCCTTTGATATAGTTCCTCATAATCTTTTGCTGGGAAAATTGGAGCATTTTTGAGTACGTGGACACCTGTTAGAATTGATAACCGATTTGTAATAAGAAAGGTATTATCAATTATCAGGTACGAGTCAAAATGATACATTGTCGGATAAACATCGAGATAGTAGTGGCGTTGTACAGGGGGATGTAGTTGTAGCAGCACCATTGATGTTCACATCATATCTTTTTGATCTTGTCGATTTCATAGAAACATCAATGAAGAACTTTCCAGATAATGGAAAACTTTATGCAAATCCAACTTTATACGCAGCTTGGCTTCAAAAAGACCTGCAAACTGTTGAGGAGTAGTCAAGGGCGTGCAGGATGAAATAAAAAAAAGAGGCCAGTGCACTGTTCTTAGGATATGCCAAAACAACAAATATTAAGTACATGCTAAGACACCAAGTTCTTTCAACAGTAGCAGAGTCGAGACCAGAGCAAAATGATCTCGGAGTTATGGTGACATCAAATTTCAAATGGGAAAGTCACATTGTCAAAATTGTCAAGAAAGCAAACTTCTATGAAGCAAACACAGTAATCTATCTTATCAAATATGTTTTTAAGGAACACTTTTGCAGTGTGGAACCCCTAATATATCTACATAAAATATAGAGATGATGAAAAAAGTCCAAAGAGATTATTAACAACTTTCTAGAGAAAGAAAGCACAGGGGCGATTTGATCAAAACTTACAAAATAGCCAGTGGCTATTACACCTGCAACATATTCACAATCATTTGCCACAAAATAAACAGCTTCATGGGCACTCAAAAAAACTAGAAAATGAGAAGGTGCAAAATTGCCTCAGAAGAATTTTTCGAATAATCGTGTAGTGTACTCTTGGAATGCCTTGGAAGAAAATACAATGTCCTCCGCGAGTGTGAACATGTTAAAAAATTAGTGGAATAATGAACTAGTAGTAATGAAACAAGAATGATATCCTCTACTGTAGTGCCTAAAAGACCTAAAAGTGGATATTCCTCGGGATATTCTGAATAGAAGAAACAATAGCTTTGACGGTTTTCACTGCCTGCTATTGTCAATTACATGATTACACAGATTGCGTTTTTATCCCTCAGATTGCAGTTTATCAGAAGAAGAATAAACCAAACCTGAGTGGGTAAAAAAATACTAATGGCCGTCTGCACCGTCGATTTTAAGGGAGGTTTAAAGATAATCGACGTTAAATTAAAGTGACCATTTCACATGTGAAAATATCACTTTAAAGTTTAAACATTGATGGCCATTTGTACCGACCATTTTAAGGAAGCCTTAGCAATAAGTATTCCTTAGGAAAAATTCACACCAAAGCATTAAGTAAGTAACTAGCAACTAGCAACGCGCGATACACAACATAAAAATCGTATTGGTTCTGAATTCACATCAACACGACAAGACTGTGTCAGCAACTAACAATAGAACTATTAAGCAGAAGCGGGAAAACGAAAACGTTGCACTACACCCATTCGATACCATTTTATTTGCTCCGCCGTAAGTATACATAGAAAAAGATTTGTTGCAAAAAAACAAAAACGCCATTTGTGGATACGTCCATTTAATAGACAAAATCAAAAGCACAGTCTACTTCTACACAATTTAACTTGGCGTTTAGAATAATTTTGGGGTGTGTAATCATACAAAGAGGGATATTTTTCAGTAATTTGCACAAATTTACATTTTCCCTGTCTTCCATTATGAAGGAAAATAAACACGACCAAGCAACATGTATCTCTAGCGATCGACAGACCAAGTTGCCATCGATTAAAATCGCGCAGCATCTGCAGATATTCCATCGGGTGATATCGGCGTCTGTTGGGTATGGTATGAATAGTTACATTATTTATCGTGTACTTTTTGAAAGCGATAATGTGTTGCGCATTGCTAGTTGCTTATTGCTTTGGTGTGAATTCTTCCTTAAACTGACGTTTCTCCATGTAAAAATGTCATTTTAAAGGATACTTATCGCTAAGGCTTCCTTAAAATGGTCGGTGCAAATGGCCATCGAGTATCAGATTAAAATCAACACTTTACCAAGCAAATCAAACTAAATTTTGTGTAATGCACAGTCCAATGCCCGCGCTAACAGGGTACAATGGCTATTTCCTATTACCCATTATCTGCTAATCATCAATACTAATTTAAAATCGCTATAATAAATAAGATTTAAATTGCTTACTTTTGAAATGATTGGTTTAACAGTTTTCCATTTTGGTACAGGTACAGGAGCAGGTTTCGGTTCATCCTTGAACATATTACCGAATACATTTGGAAATGATATGATGTTTTTTTCTGGATCACCTTTAATCTGTTTTTTATTTTGATTCGTGTCAGAGCCCATAGTTGCAGTGAAATATCTCAAAACGTCCTTGCCGTAGGTTTTGGGGTCGATTTTTTGCAAAAAATGTGCGAATTCTTTGTTCAGCGCCTTCTCGAACGTTTTATCGTTGGTCAGCTTGGAAAAATAAGTTTTCAGTTGATTGATGAGCCTCCACTGGTTTAAAATCACGGTTTTTGCGTGCATCTTGAGGTTGTCTGGGGTCGGAGAATCAGATAGATATCTGGAAACATCAAATTTGAATAAACTTAATATTTTTTTAAAATAAACTATGAACTAATCAGACATACTTTGCCAAACTGACGTCAACACAACATTCGGAAAAATTTAAAAATAAACACAGGAAGGGGAGGATTCAGAAATAATAAACAAAAATCAGGTGATTGTCAGCACACGTATTCAAACCAGTGTTGCCAATAGCAGCAAGTTAAAACCATTTACATGATAAAAAATGAGGCAAGCAAAAATCACGCTCAAATTTGAAAACTAATATTTTAAAATAAACAAGTTTAAAACATTATTGTGAGTAGGTAATTGCAAATAAAAAGTTCTCTTACCTTCTCCCTGCAGCTGAGATACAAGGCCTGCTGCGGCACAAATACTCCATTCAGTTAATTCCTCTTGCGTTAAAATTAAATTACCTTATCAGCAAACTTTTATAAAAAACACTATAATAATCAAATAAATTATTGTTGATTATCTCGCGTTTGATTTCTCTGATAAACTGAGCTCTCGTGCTAGTAAACACAGTTTTATAATCGTTTTCTAGTAGGAAAACAAGTCGCAATATTACTAGAAAAATACATTATTTGTGAATTTTGGAGGTGTGTCTATGAGCTACGCGTGTAACCAACAAAACAATAAATAAATACTATTAAAAATAAAATAATCTATACAGGGTGGTCCTTCGGGAATGACATCGATTGCTTATGGGAAAACTGTGAAAGGTAAAAATTTGAAAATTTGGCAACATAGCAATGTCGATGGGGGACATCTAGGTAAAATATTTTCAAGATGGCGGCATTTCCGGTCATACCGGAAGTTGATACCAACTCGGTTATTTTAAATAGAACACCCCGTATATAAATGTATTTTTGAATTCTACATAAAATTCTGAGCAGATTTCATGTAATATACCCTATACCTAAGTTCAACTGTTTTGGAAATATTGACAGTTGAAAATTGACTTTTTGCAACTTTGACAGGCTGTAAAACCTGAACAATTAATTTTAGAGGAAACCCGATTTGACATTCCTATCTTAGATTTTTATAAACTATCATTTGACATCAACTTTGAATTAAATCCATGATTAAAAATTTCAGTTAAATTTAATCTCCGTTTAAGTTCAAAGTTGGTGTCAAATGATAGTTTATCAAAATCTAAGATAGGAATGTGAAATCGGTTTTCCTCTAAAATTAACCAATTAGGTTTTACAGCTTGTCAAAGTTGCAAAAAGTCAATTTTCAACTGTCAATATTTCCAAAACAGTTGAACTTAGGTATAGGGTATATTACATGAAATCTGCTCAGAATTTTATGTAGAATCCAAAAATACATTAATATATGGGGTGTTCTATTTAAAATAACCGAGTTGGTATCAACTTCCGGTATGACCGGAAATGCCGCCATCTTGAAAATATTTTACCTGGATGTCCCCCATCGACATTGCTATGTTGCCAAATTTTCAAATTTTTACCTTTCACAGTTTTCCCATAAGCAATCGATGTCATTCCCGGAGGACCACCCGGTATAAGTTTACACGCGTTTGTTCACATGCGGCGCGACCTTCACATTATGGCATGAGTGGTCAACAAAATAACAATTAATTCGTGTATATCGGAAGCTCATCTGCATTAATTATTATGGGCATTGTTTTTTTTATATAATTATTTATAGAAACCTGAGAAGATAGAAAAACTCCTTTATATTAGCCGTTCCAAAGATTGCAAAGTCGTTTCTGGTAGTAAAGTGTGAAGTATAGACTATAGAGTATTATTATAGCACACAATGGAAAGTGATGACGAGGTTGTTGTTGCTGTTGTGGCGTCTCTTTCATTATCATCAAAAACCATAAATTCATGTTTCATGTCTCACGTTTCATGTTTCATATTCTCTAAAAAGTCATAGAAGGGACGTTTTTGTCGTTTTTGAAAATAAAACAAAAGAGACTTTTTGGTTTCTGTTGGTCGTACATATTCAAGAACACCATTGAAAATGGTTTAAAAACCATTTTTAAGTCCATATACCTATAATTTTTTTTTACAAGTCAAAACTGGATTTATTTTAAACGTCTTTTTTCAAAGCTTTTTTAAAACAAAACGTTCTTATTAAAGAGTTTTCAAAACGTCCATTTTCGACTATTCAAGTTGGATGTTCTCTAGTTACTTGCTGACATTCTTAAAAGGTTCCGACGTCCGATCGGATATGGTTTTTAAAAGGTTTTTTTAAACATTTCTATACTATTATGGATATAGGATATATACCTATACCTAGGCGGTGTACGACTATTCAAATTTATAATAAACCCATTTATAATGAAATTTCTAGTCATAAGTATTAGGTACCGAAGGTTATTATGCCTTCAAAACATGAACTAATTCAAATATCATATTAATCCCAAACATTTCTCGCCTAATTAATTCAACTTTCTATTTCAATACGTAAAGCTTAATCCTAATTTTAGAATATGAAACAAACAAAATGCTTGTCGTTGGTTTTACGCGCAAAATTTGCGCATGGCGTGTTTGCTGGTTGATGACCAAGAAAATCACCTCATGCTGATTAAAACAATAATATTTATTACCCAAACATAAAAAGGTACACGTTTTTAGGTAGGTACTTCCAAAGATTCGCAGGCTTATTAAATTTATACGCAACAATTATTTACAGAAAAATCACCTGATTATATATTTTTCTAAAGAAATTTTCACGATTACATAATATTTTAACTCTAGATTAAGATATCCCTGGGACAACTACATTATTATTGTATATAATAATAACAATAATAACTATTTAATAATAATTTTATCAGTGACGTTATAGGTATAGAGATAAAATATTCTGATGATAAGTGAATTTTTTTATTCTTATTTCTATCAAAGCCAATTCTCTAGAAACATTCAAAACAGTTTGTCCTAATTTAAAAATGAAAAATTGAAATTTCATCATTTTAGTACCTACCTACTAAGGTATATGATTTAGATTTTTGTAAAATTTAAAAAATCATAATTTTTTTTCTATTAGGTAGATCCTTTTTCTCACGTTAAGCAAAATAGTTATTTATGCAACAAGTGTGTAAAGTGAACCTTTTTTTGACGCACGAGCCGAAGGCGAGTGCGACAATCACATGAGTGAAAAAAAGGTGCTTTACGCACGTATTGCATACAAAATGACAGTGTCAACATCTGTCATTGACATTACTTTACGCACCAGTGTGTGAAGTGAATTACTTTACGCACTAGTGCGTGAAGTGGAATTTTACGTCTTCTGAATAGTGCGTAAAGTGAGTACTTTACGCACGGTAGTAGAAAATAGTTATTTATGCAACAAGTGTGTAAAGTGAACCTTTTTTCACGAATGTGAATTTTGGTGCTTTTTTTTTCTACGACCAATCAAATATGTGTAAAACGATAAATTTAGACAAATACTTTACACACTAGTGCGTAAAGAATTTTGAATTTACGCACTAGTGCGTGAAGTAATTTAGCAGAAAAATGCCAAATTGACAGTGTCGACATCTGTCATTGACATTACTTTACGCACTAATGTGGGAAGTGAATTACTGTACGCACTAGTGCGTGAAGTGAAATGTTACGTCTTCTCAATAGTGCGTAAAGTGAGTACTTCACGCACGGTAGGAGATTTTTTTTTTTTTGTAACACGTAACACGTCCAATATATGTAAAGTTTGTTTCGCCAGGGTTTGTACTTGCCACCAGCATTTACTTTCCTTGTTTAACAAATAAAAATTGACTGAAACAAATCAATGACGTCAAAAACGTTCGTCGGTTCTTAACCATAAGTCATTCATTTTAATTTGTCAAAAAAATTGAATGTGTCATATGAATTAATCTACTTCAACCCTTTTTTTTTCAAGTTTCAAGGTCAAGTATGAACCCTGGTGAAACGGACCTTAGATGTGTATTTCAAACGCGCGTTTGTTGGATGTTTTTTAAACCACCTTCAAAAACCAATGAACGTTTTGTATAGGCCCAAATGGTATTATTTTACGACAACCCAGGTAGCGGTAACTAAAAATAATCTAAAAGTAGCTCCCAGAGCTCGCAGCTCATTAGACGCCATCAGACATTCTATAAAACGCTTGAAAAACGTCTTTTTTTCATTATTTTTTTTAAAACATCTGGTTTCGACGTTTATATTACGTGTGAAGTTGTGACTTGCACCCACTGATCTAAAAAATAAATGGATAAACAATCATACGGCTTGATTGGCAAAATTTGTGCGAAAATTTGGGGTCAATATTCTACGAACAGTTGTGCAACGGAACAGCCTAAAGGCCGAAACCCACTAGCAACACGCCAACACACATATATATATATATATATATATATATATATATATATATATATATATGTGGGTTTCGGCCTTAACGCCTTCACAGTGTCTTATCTTTCGAACAACTGTTTTAAATTTTGAAATTCCTTCATTTTCATTGGCCAGACTTAGGGCGGGTATTATAAAACTGCTTTGACAGTTAACTTGAAGTTAACTTTATGAATTACATGTAATTCCAGAAATTAACTTTAGGTTAACTCTCAAAGTAGTTTTATAATACCCGCCCATAGTGCACACACAGTACATTTATCTACTGCGCAAGCTAACAGCTGTCCGAGTCAGTTGTTTTTGTTTAGATTAACCTCGTAGATTGACCTTTTGTTTTGACGCCATATTGCGGTGCGCGAACATAGTTGCCAAAACAAGAAAACCAAAAATTACTAGCGGGCTGTCAACTAGATATTTTATTATTTCTATTCTGCTCAATACAAGTTAAAATTGATGGTTTTTCTTTCCAAAAACATTCGTAATAGGCGGTAAATTTAAATTTTAAATGTAATTTATTCATTAACTTTAGATTTTAAAGTTGACAGAACGCTAATAATTTTTTTTTCTACTGTTGGCAACTATGTTCGCGCACCGCAATATGGCGTCCAAACAAAAGGTCAATTAGCAGCATTAGAAGCGTTCATTGTTTATCCATTTATTTTTGAGATCAGTGCTTGCACCAGAAAACTAAAGCAGCGCTGCCACCTCTACCGATATATCGGTAGATCTACCGATTTTCAAATGAGTCTACCGATCTCCCGATTTTGAACCATTTTCTCACGATTTTTCTGCAATTTGTTGGTAATGCAACAAATATGTAGATAGGTATATATTTTATTTAAAATTGCAACTTGAATCCCCAAAATGCATCTTTCTAGTTCCTACTTTCACTTTCCAGGATCAGGATATCGAACGGTATTTTTCTAAAGTTGGCAACATTAGCTGTTGTTTCAGCAGTCAGAGTTGCCAATTGCAAGACAAACGACAGAACACTGAACTGAACAACTGTTCATTGAATGCTCTCTTGTATTGCATGTAAACAAACAATTTTGTTGATTATTTATTTATATTGGTGAATTTTTATTCGTATTTTCCAAATATCAGCTTTCTCTCGACGAATATTGGTATTACATGAGTCACAGGAAGCCAGGTTAGTTTAGTATTCAGTTTTAGCACTAACCACTAACCAGCATAATATTCAGGAATACATCAGCTATTCAGATGCAGCTTAATTCTTAATTTACTAATAGGAGTTGACCAACATGATCCCGAAAGCACACTCAGCTAGGTTTAAATTATCTCTGCAGCAAATTTGTAACGATCCTCAATGACCTCAACTTTTTTGAGACTTCTGTTTTCCATTCCAAATGCCCAAAAAATGATCTAATATGTAGGTCTCGATCTAGGTACTCTCAGAGCTGAGCTAAGTACTCAGCAAATGTACTTAAAGTATTGAGTATTAAATACTTATTCAATATTTCACATATAAGTACTTAGAATAAGATTGAGGGCAATATTTTTCAATTGTACTTAAAGGTCTTAAAGTAAAAAAAAAACTGTATGAGTATCAGTAGCAGTAGAGTAGGTATTATTCGTCGATTTTTATCTGACACTTGCGGTATGAGGAGCGAGGGGGTGAAGTATATGGCAAAAACAGGTGTGATGTCAGGTGGCCATTGGCGTTCTAATGTAGGGTGCCACCAGCTCACATTCCTTCCAAGTATCAGATTAAAATCGACTCACTTTACTTATGCACTCGCGTACTTATAAATACAATAAGTTATTAGAGTTTATATTTTAAGTAAACTACTGAATAATAAGTAAATACATAAAATAGTTCAGATAGGTACTTCAAGTACTTTTGAAAACTATGTAGGTATTATTTTTAAGTAGATTTAAATTTTCATTCGTTCATTTTTAAGTAGTAAGTAGTTTACCTCGTAGTTTACCTATACTTAAAATAAATTTCCACATTCAAGTACTAGTTTAAAAGGGTATTTATCTTATATGTATTTACGTATTATTTTTAGTAGGTACCATCATCACCAAAAGTAACTAGGACAGCATCATATTAGCTCTTGTACTATTATATGATTTTTAGTGTCAAATATTTGTCAAAATATGACTAAAAGCATTGAAATGAATGATGGTAGAATAAGTCCAGAAGATCAATATGAATTATTTTTGTCCCAGATACTTTTGGTGACAATGGTACCTACCTACTCTTCTTATAAAAATACTTGAAGTATCAAATGTACTGAATATTTTACTTTAAGTATTGATTTTTACCGCCCCATTAATCCACTTTTGTGTCCTTTTTTGGCCTGTTTTTCCTGATGCCATTCTTTTTGAACTTGTGACAAATTGGAACGCAATAGCCTACCTATTTTTGATTAGCTTTTGGATGTGAAAATTTGTAGAGGTCCGCACTCGGCTCCACAAGTTGATGTCATCAAAGCACCTTTTAAGTTTTGTACAGGGTGGTCCAGAATCCAGATTGGACCCTTTCAATAGGAAACCTCAATTTCTGCGCAAAATATAAAAAAATTAACCCCCCTTTCTGAGGCTCAAATTTCATAAAATCTTCATCGGTGCAAATCACTTTTTGATATCAGTCAATTCCAATTCTTTCACATTAAAAATTTAGTGTGTATATTTGCTTAAAGGGGGTGTGCGCCAAAAAAAAAAACTTTATCTCAAAAAAAAGAGAAAAAAATTCTAAGAATAACAGTGAAAACCACACCCCTCTATGAGAAATTATACCGAACATATGGCTCTATGAAGGTACCGCAACTCACCCTATGACGTCACGAGAGCTCGAGCGACTCACGAGATAGTGAAGTAAATTGAATTTACATGTTTTTTCTGTGTCACCTGCAATAACCTAAACAGAAACCACTGACGCGTGCCGGAAACAATCAAATTAACAGTGCGGAGCGCGGCCGGACGAAGCTCTCGTGACGTCACACACACTTTGAAGTGGTATATCTCAGTGATGGTTTATCATAGAATAACGAGGTTTGAAAAGTTATTCTTAGATTTTTTTACATTAAAACTTTAATTTTTGGCGCACACCCCCTTTAAGGAAATGTAAAGTTTTGGTACCTACTTGTTTTTTCTTATTTGTATTTTTACCTACTTTTTTTGTAAAATAACCATTACAAACACAAATCCAAACACAAATCATTCTGAAAATTGCCTGAAATGAAATCCAACTACTTTATCTAGGTTGACTGCCAAAGTATCTAATCCAAAACTCCTTAGACTGCTTGCCATGCCAACATAGAAAAAAATGTCTTTCAACTGGAAACTTCTCAAAGACTTCATATCGAAACTGGCACTCGACAAATCTCTACAAACAGACTTCCATCAAATACTTAATAAAATTCCACAATCGCACGATATTGCCGAATATGTAAAATTGGCAGAGAAAAAAATTACTTTTGTGAAGCAATTATATAATAGTGCTGCTAAATCAGATCCAAATGCAAATAGTGAAGAGAAGAAGGCATGGAAGACAGTTAAGAGAATATCACAATCAGAAGTAAGAGCTATGTCTTTTTTATTCAAATCCCAAATTGCCTTTTTCAGCATTCATTAGACAAATCTAGTGCAATCCAGATTCTTCATAATCTAAACAACGCTTCCAACGAAGAAGACATTTTATCAGAAGTAGAATCATTTATTTTATATTTGAAGCAACATGCTGAAATGCGAAATAATGCTATAAAGGTAAAATTGCAATACCCTAATTAAAAAAAACCTAATTTAATTATTTTAGCATGGTGCAATAAGAATTCTGCTTCAGAACAGGCTAAAAGCCACCACTGATCAAACAAAAGAAGCTATAAGAGAAGCCTTAACAATTTTAGGCTATTTGGATCCTGTACCTAAAAGAGGCATTAGAATTTTGTCTATTGATGGTGGTGGAATTAGAGGTGTTCTTGTTTTGGAAATGTTAAAAAAACTTGAGGAATTGACTGGCAAAAGAATATACGAATTATTTGACTTTTTTTGTGGTGTGAGTACTGGCGCGATTTTGACATATTCCATGGGTACATTTTTGTACACGATATAATCAAATACATAGATTTTATTGTCATTTTTTTTAGGGGTTCACATGAGAAATTTGGACGATATTATAACAAGATATGAAGCATTGAGTCAAGAAATTTTCACACAATCTCCATTGTTAGGTACAGGAAAATTGATGTGGAGTCATGCCTATTACAATACTGCTTTGTGGGAACAGAAACTTAAGGATTTTTTAGGCAAAGACACTCTTATAATGACATCGAGGAATCCTAAATGTCCAAAAGTAAATTATTTAAATCAGACAAGCAAAATTTTTAATCAACAAAGTTTTAGATTTGTGTAGTTTCAGCTGTAGTCAACCAATCACGAGTATCCGCCTATGTCTTCAGAAACTATTCGCTTCCATGGAGATTCCAGTCTGAATATGAGGGCTGCCATGATGCCGAAATATGGCAAGCTGCCAGAGCTTCTGCCGCTGCTCCCACATACTTTGAAGAGTTCAGAATCAATGATTTGATACACCAAGACGGGGGTATTTTAGTTAATAATCCAACCGCTATAGCCATTCACGAAGCAAAACTTTTATGGCCTGATACTCCTATTCAATGCGTGGTGTCGTTTGGTACTGGACGTTCTATTCCCAGTCCTCGAGAATTGCTGAAGGAGAAAAGTCCGAAAAGTGATGGTACTTCTTGGGCTAATAAGTTTTATAAAATTTTGGATAGTGCTACTGATACACAAGGTAATTAATTATACTTAGTTTGTATTGTGGATATGTCGTGAATAAGCTGTCCTACCTTTTTTTTTGCAATGAATTATACATTGTTGGGTATGTATAGTTCAATATTTTTTTAAATAACAATTTCTTTTTATCCTTAGCTGTTCACATAATGTTAAGTGATCTTCTCCCAGACGATGTTTATTACCGATTCAATCCCTTTCTTACTGAAGTGATCGGTATTGTGGAAACAGACTCAGAAAAACAGAAGCAAATCAAAAGAGATGCTCTGATGTACTTGAGAAGGAACGATGATAAGTTCCAACAAGTCGCCAAAACTTTGATGCAGCAGAAAAGCGTCAGTCAGAAGATGAAAGAGAAAGCGAATTTTATAAGGGAATTGTATGGAATTTAATGCAGTATTATTTATGCTTTTTAATAATTGTAACGAAGTTATTTTACAAAAATCAGAAATCAACCTGATTTTTTTTTTGTTGAAACAAATGTTTTGTTACCATTTTTTGTTGAGACTTTTCAAGCTTTAATTTTAACTTAATTTATTGTAGTTTAAAGTTAGTGTGTCTGTAAAATGACAAGAAATTATTATTTATCAATCAGTATTTGAATAAAATTCAATAACTAAAGTTTGTTTTTTTTACATTGCAGTCTTGTGACAAGCCTAAACTTGAAAATTTGTTGTTTCAATAAGTTTAAAGACTATTGGATTTGATTGGAGAGGCGGGTCGATTTTGATATTACTAAACAAGAACTTATGGAATGTAGCAATATGGATGGAAACATAGAAATGTTAAGTGTTAAAAGACTTAATAGAAAAACAATTAATGACAAAGTGGTTTCCTATGAACCCCACTGGAACAGTTCTTTCTACTTTTAAGGGAGTAAGGCTACCACGAGCTTTACATTTTTATAATCTTTCTTTTAATATTTCTGTCTATGTGCCACCAGTCACACAGTGTTTTCGGTACCGTCACACAAGAGTAAATTGTGAAGGTAAGGAACACTGTTTTAATTACAGTGAGCCAAAGCATTTGGAAGATAATGAAGATTTTAGCTGTTCAGTGAAATTTTTTTTTGTTTCTCAAAAAAAACCGCACACATCCACATCCAAAATTTGCCCAGAACACATCAGGCAGAAAAATAATAGAGAGTTAATGGCATTCGAGAATCTAACCTTTTTTGAAGCAAGTGAAAGTTGCAAAAGAACATACGTCCCCAGAGGTGACTTTGTTCTCAACCGGGAAGATTGCCCCCCAGTTCAAAATACATCTAATATCAGATATTCACCACGCAGTTTTGACTCAATTAACGTATGACCCATCAGAAAGAAAGACCTTATCTTTCAAAAATAATTCAACTAAACGTACATTCCAACAAGTAGTGTCTAACAACTCAACAAGAAAAAGGATAATGCATAAAAGTTATGATATAAAGGCTCCATGAGGAAGACTTATACAACCTCAATGGAAGAATAGATAATTCACAGTCCACAGCCTATTTTTCACAGCATAATCAAACACCATCAAAGATTTTAGTAAAACTGCAGCCTACCCCTAGTGCATCTTCATCAGTTCGTTGTTTGGAAAATGTTAATTTAGACACTATTGTAAATTTTATAAGAAACGCTTCTGTAGAGTAAATAAATGTCCTAAGAAGTCTTTTGCTGTCAGATTAGAGTCACGGGGCATACATGGAATATGCCCAGAATTCTGATGACTGATAGTGAACGTCCCTTTCAGTATATTAACCTTTCACTATTTTCACTTAATCAAAAAAACCTAGGTCCAATATTAAGATTAGCCAATGGAACATCGGGTATGCTGGTGTGGCTACTTGCATAAAAAAAAATATACAATACAAATAAATTAAAGTTTTCCATTCAGAAAATGTTCAATATATTTATAGGTATATAATTCGGGTAGTGGATATTTTCATAAAGAATTTTTATGCCAATGGACACTTCAGTCGACGAAAATCTCCTTGGTAATCTTTATAATCACGACGAATTTCAAAATAGTGTACTTATGGGGGATTTGAATTCTCACCACCCAATGTGGGATAAAAACCTTGCAAATAAAGGTGGTAAAAATATGAGTGAGTTTATACTAGACAAAGATCTTGTAATCATGAATAATGGAGCTGCCAAACTTGTACAGAACCCAAATCGTAACCTTAATGCTGTGGATCTTTCAATCCTCAATGGTAGATTGGCACATTAATCCACTTGGGATATCCTAAAGGACTGTTGTAATAGTGATTATTACCCAACTATTTGGATTAATAATGTGAAAGACAATAATAACTTTTGTAAAACGTTTTACCCATGTTACAAAAGAAGAAACTTCGACAAGCTCTGACTGGAAAAGTTATCATGATAAAATTTCATCATACATCACCGAGCAACGACGTAGGTAGCTATAGCTTTTACATGGGGGGGGGGGGGGGTTTAGAAGAGTGGCAGCTCGTAGTCTATGCTGGAAAGGGTTTAAATTTTAGACCAGATGATGTATAGGTAACCTGGCATAGCAGCCGGAGGATATCGCCGAAGGCGAAAAATTTTTTCGGGTTCCACGCCCAAAAACATTTATTTTTCAGTTCAATGGGGGGGGGGGGGTTTGAACCCCCAAAACCCCCCCTTATATACGTCCTTGTCACCGAGTCAAATACTGACATAGGGTATGCGAAGACCTTGTTAACATAATGGATAGAAAAATCTGGAATTGCATTTCGATCTTGAACGAAAAATGTTTTTTATCCTATTGGGAAAGCGAAAATTTCTGTTGGATACTTGGATAAAACATCAACTGATGAATTTTATGTCGTGACAGATAATTTCGAGCCACTAATGGGACGTGTATGGTTAAGACATTTAGATATCAGCCTTCAAAAAATCGACAATCCTAATCAAGTAAACACCTTACTATCAACAAAAGAAGAATTTGTTCAAAAATACTCAAACATTTTCAAGGAACGAATTCGATTAGTACCAAATTTGGAAGTATCCTTACTTCTAAGTACGTGAAAACGATTATAAGCCTGTTTATCTTAAAGAATTGGACAGTCTAGAAGCTGCTGGGAGCATTTCAAATGTTAGCCATAGTGACTGGGGTTCACCACTAGTAGTCATTCCTTTCCCAAAGCTGATGGAAATGTCAGGTTATGCGTAGATTATAAAATTGATGTTAATAACAAGCTATTGTCTGCAAATAATTATCTAATTAGAAAAATAGAAGATATATTAAATAGTCTTAAAGGTTCAAAATATTTTTGCCGACTAGACTTATTTAAAGCCTACTTACATCTATCAGTAGATGAAGAAGGACGCGAAATTCAAATCATTTCAACTCATAGAGGAGGAACCTATCGAATGCATTTTGGTATCAAGACTGCCCCTTCTGAATTCAACCGAAATATAGACCATATTCTTTACGGTTTAGCAAAGACACATTCATATTTTGACGACATAATTGTCTAGAGTTCAAGCAAGAAAGCATGTCAGAAAAAGCTGGTGAATGCTTGCGAAGACTTCAAGAATATGATTTACATTTTAATCCAAAGAAATGTGCATGTTTTGAAACCAGTAGGTACTGATCAAGTCTTGATTCCATATGATCCGAGTTTACCTGTGAATCTTGCTTGTGATGCTAGTCCTACGGGTGTAGCAGGTGTCCTTTCGCATGTCATCGATGGTATAGAGGCCTATTGCGTTTGTTTCTAGATCACTTACAATAAGTGAAAAAAATTACAGTCAATTAGATCGTGAAGCTCTTGCCATATTGTTCGCTGTCAACCATTTTTTCATGTACCTATATGGACTCAAATTCAAACTAATCGCACAGATATAGTCCATTAACCAGAACTTTTTTATCAAAATTCAAAACTGCCAAGTATGACTTCCGCAAGACTTCTAAGATACGCTTCATTTTTATCTGGTTTAAATTATGAAGTAGAATACAGAAAGGGATCCGATCACGTTAATGTTGATTGTTTTTCAAGAGCACACATCAATCAATCAGCAACATCTATGGATAAAGTTCTCAGTGAAAAAGTAAACTCCCTTTGCCATTCATCAATCACTGAAATATCGACCTATGATCTCACTTATGACAGTATTCGAGTTGCTACAGAAAACGATCCAACCTAATCAAAAATTAACACTGATCTGAAATCTGAAAATTTAATTGAAAGTGAATTTATATTAGAAGACGAAATTCTATTTAGAGGACAAAGAATTCACATTCCGACATCACTACAGCCATTAGTTCTGTCAGAACTTCATAACACACACATAGGCATTACAAAAATGGAGCAACTAGCAAGACGGTATTGCTACTGGAAAAATATGGACAAAGACATTGAAAACATGGTCAAGTCTTGCCAACCATGTGCGGAAATTCGGAACAACGGGATGAGCCAGCTGAAAATTGGGACAGAATACAAGCAGAATACATATTGACTATGCTGGACTATTTCAAGAATATTACTTTTTAATAGTAATTGACGCTAAATCTAGATGGGCAGAAATCAAGGTTGTGAAGAGATGCTCCAACTTCAGATAAAATTATAAAGTTACTGAGAGATTTTTTTTGTTTTCACGGTTATCTTCGAGTAATGTTTGTAAGCGAACAATTTAAAATTTTTTCGGAGCAACATGGTATTTTCCAAAAATTTATAGCTCCCGCGGGCATCCAGCAATAAACGGTTTAGCTGAAAGAAATCCTCAAACATTAAAAATGAGACTAAAAGCTATGTCCGAGGATCGTATTTCAATAAATAAGAAGATTCAAGATTCAAGAAATCCTTTTAAAATATCGATCTACACCTCCTCTTTGTGACAAATCCCCAGCTGAATTACATTTCCAACGAAGTATCAGAACTAAATTAGATGCATTCCGTCCAACCAAACCAAACGTGTCGTTAGAAAGCCAGTCTACAGACACAAGAGAAGTGTGGGAGAAAGAGTACAAGTGAGGTATTACGAAGCCAACAAATGTTTATGGAAATTTGGAACTATTGTTAAAAAATATGGCATTATTACACTTTTTAGTACAACTTGATGATGGATATGTTTTGAAACGACATATTGATCAAGTAAGAACAACTTCAGTACCTAAAGCAAACATAACAGCTTCTACCGAATAACCAAGTACCAGTAAACATACAGACCAACAATCACAGCAACATTACCATTTTCTATTACCTAGTGTAAGAAACCCTGCTTGTCCACCTGTTTGTAGATCAAGAAGAAAAACAGCCGAATATTGAACCTGAACAGTTCAACACTCCAAACATGGATGTAGAAGAAGAACCATTAGAATTTGACGATTCCGACTCAGAGGTTCAAGAAAAAAAAGCTGAACATCGTCCAATAATTATTAAACCAAAAACTGATGTCCAAAATCAATACGAAAGACCAAAAAGAGTCGGTCGACCGATATAATTCGATTAAATGACTACGTTTGGTAGTTGCTTTCATTTTCTTTTTTATTTTCAATTAGTGTGGGAGATTATTATATCCTTGTAGGTATATTGTGATATTTCTAACAGGTATTATGCTTTCAAGTTGAAGGCAGATGTCAATAAAGATAGAGTCTGCCAACATGAAAGTGGAGAAAAAATTATTCT